GAAATCGGCTGATGTGAAATTTCGTAATATTTAGTTAGGATGTTTGTAAGTTTTGATAGTTTTTGGCATCATCGTGAATCCTGCAAATGTTGGGTAAACAAAGTAAAAAGCGATTAAACCTAACGACCTGGAGTACAAGTGACCAAAACATCAATACTGCTGTATATACTTTGAAAATGTTAATACCTTATAATCTACATCACATTTTACGAATAATTGTATACTTTTTAGGGTGAAAATTGATGTATAAATATGTGTTTTGGACATAAATTAGATAATGAACTAAATTAGATAATTAGATTATATATCCAGAGCTCATGATACGAGGCTCTGATGTTTTGTCTAGACATTCCTTTCTCACCAAAATCTGCCAAATTCTCAAAGTTTCTGTAAATATTCAAACTCCGTGGGCAGAGAATCATCACAATTTGTTACTGACTTTTTACAAAATTAAACATTTAATTTTCGGCCAACTTTTGAAAATGAGATTTCTAGATATTTTATTATAAGACCTCTTATTTAGGCTCTGCCCACTTCAAAATTAGGAAATAAAAGAGGCATTTTTGGCATTGAAACCTCAGAATCTCGTTACGTGGACTCTGGAAAACCAATAACTGTAAGTAACTAATTGAAATAATATTTTTGGACTTAAACATTTCTTAAATAAATTAATATTTTGAACTACATTTGTTTTCATGTTTTGTAAAAGATATAGAGACTCAACTTCGCCACATAGACATGTAGATATTAACGAAACACTTGGCAGCCATCTTGAAAAATTGAGGTCTTTACTTGTTATATTACGATTTTTGCTGTAACTCGCAAAGTAATGGAGCGATTTGGTTCATATTTGGTATGTGAATACTTTAAGCATGGCACTCTGTCTAATGACACTTTTGGTAGAAGGCGACCGTTTTTCAAAACGGTCTCCATTTTAATGTATTTTAGTATAACTCGAAAAGTAGTGGAGCTATTCTGTTCATATTTGGTATATAAATACTATAATCATGGTACACTGTCTAATGACACTTTTGGTAGAATTAAGGCAACCATTTTGAAAAATGACTGCCATTTTAACGTAATTTACTATAACTTGAAAAGTAGTGGAGCGATATTTTGCATATCTGGTATGTGAATACTATAAGCATGGCACACTGTCTAATGACGTTTTTGGATATTTCATCAAGGCTAACATATATTTTTATTATCTACAAAGAAACCCCTTGGATGAACATTATTTTAGCTGATATTCCTCTTGAAACGTGGTGAATCTTAAAAATCTATAAATGGGACTCCCTTTATAGAAGCTTTGAACTGAATTTACACTTCTTAATGCTGGAATTGATAGTTTATCCATACATTTTAAGAAAATAGGTATGTCAAAGTAGGTATTAAGCCAAATATTGACCTGATAGCTCAGAATTATTTTTTCGAATTTTCTCTCTTAATAGTCCTTGTTGCCCTTCTAATTGAGGATTGCAAATCTAGAAATGATATAAACCCTTAATTTGTTTGTCTGATTTATTGTAAACTATATTTGGCTATCAATAACCATAAATTATTCATTTAAAATATACTTTAAGATGTCAATATGGTTTGAATCAGACATTTGTACTGTATCTCCTTTTTAATTTGTACATTTGTTCAAATATATGTATGATATTAATATGGTTGGAATGAGACATTTGTACAATTATTCCTGTGTCATTTGTAGACGTGATCGGATATAATAGATGTTGAATGGTTTGAATTAGTATTCACAGGTAGGGAAGGTGTGTCAGATTTCATCCAATCTGAACAGAATATTTACATAATGAACAGTGTGTGAAATATTAATAACACATGGAAGTTAAACAGTTGTCATGGTGAATGGCTTTTTTGACACTTGATTTGATTTGACTTGCAAAAAGTTTCATTGAAAATGTGTTCTTTTAGTGATTTCGTTCCTTTTGGATGATTTTATAAAAAACTGCAATGTGTGAAAAGAATTTAAGTCCAAGACTCAATGCATTGTAGCTGCTTCATTCCACTCATGCATTGTTTCCTAAACTTTGTGTTTCTGCTGAACGGTCATGCAAAGGTTTGGAAGCAACACCTTCATGGTATGATTCAGCAAACAATGCACTGAGTCCAGGGCTTAAATCCTTAAGTATCTCCTGTTTGTAGACACTATCAAATATATGCAAGATGTTAATATGGTTTGAATCAATCAGACATTTGTACATTATCTCCTGTTTCATTTGATCAAGTGTAATAGATTTTAATATGGTTTGAATTAGTAGTATCTCTTTCTTCATTTGTAAACTTGATCAACTGTGTTAGCTGGATAGTCTTACTAACCAGGTGTTTCATTAGAACTATAGAACACAGTGATCTTCCCATGATTTTTTCTAAAGGGGGTGCAAAATTCTCATTTACACAATTCGGACAAAAATTGTCCGAATTGTGTAAATTCGGAATTTACACAATTCAGAATATGCCAATTTTCATGATTTTTCTCATTTTCAAGTGGGTGCAAACAGATTTTCAGGTGGGTGCAAGGCTGTGCCCATTTGTTTTAATTTGGGGAGACCACTGGAATAGATTCAATATATTGATGTGTCATATTGGATTCAATGATCTTATTTTCACAAAAGTATGGCTGTCTTTTACGAGTTTCCTTATTTCAAGTGCAATACACCTGTCTCATCTAAAGACCATTGGAACTAGTCGAAAGTGTTCAGTTTGCCAGGGGTTCACATCTCAAGTTTTTCACATGAATGTCCACAACAGATAAATAGATATGACTGAATAAAGCTTTAACATTAAGAGGTGTTCAGATTAGAAAGATGTTTGGATATAAAGGTGTAACTGTGGTTTTAAATGGGCTTTGGGAATAAAATGATGATTGTGTTGCTATTCCAGGTACAAATTAGTTGATATTGGAGTGAACCTTACCCATCATAAATTCAAGAAAGATGTAGCTAGTGTCATATCTAGGGCACTGGAAACTGGTAAGTTACAAGAGAACACTGATTTACGCTTGGAAAGATCAATGTGTCCATAACAATGATAACTTAACATAACAATTCAATGTTTATCCAGGAGCCCAAGGTCGTCTGACTAAATTTTATCATAAACCAGCTAGCAGGCTAGCCCTTATGGCTCAGGGGTAGAGCGTCTGACTCGAGAGCGGGAGGTCCTGGGTTCGATTCCCGTACGGGGCATTGAATTTAGCACATTTTCTTTCGAGTCTAGTATCTGGCTCGGTACACTACAGCTCCCCGACGAGCGTGCCCAAGTGACGTTACACCTAGAATGGGCAGTTCATCCCCTAGAAAACTCATCACTGGACAACTCATCCCCTAGACAATTCATCCCCTGGAAAACTCAACCCTGGACATCTCAACCCAAGACAATTCATCATTAGGCAGCTTATCCCCTAGACAATTTATCCCCTAGACAACTCATCCCTGAACAACTTATCCCTCGGCAACTCATCCCTGGACAACTCAACCCCTGGAAAACTCACCCCTTGACTACCCATCCCAGGGCAGCTTTTCCCCCAGACAACTCATCCTATAGGAAATTCATCCCCTAGACTATTCATCCCTGGATAATTCATCTCTGGACAACTTATCCACAGAAAACTCATCACTTGACAACTCATCCCTGGGCAACTCATCCCTGGACAACTCATCCCTAGACAATTCCTCCCCTAGACAACTTATCCCTGGACGACCCTTTCCTCTAGACAACTCATCCCCTAGATAACTCATCCCCTGGACAACTCATCCCTGGGCAGCTCATCCCCTAGATAACTCATCCCCTAGACATCTCATCCCCTGGACACCTCATCCCCTGGACAACTCATCCCTTGGCAGCTCATCCCCTGGACACCTCATCCCCTGGACAACTCATGTCTTGGCAGCTCATCCCCTGGCTGGACAACTCATCCCTGGACTCATTTTATTTCTTTATTTCAAATTGATTCAATTACATAATGATAAAGATTTTAACAGTAGACACATGCTTATATACTGAGTTTACAATTAAAAATGTATGAATATAAAATAAGTTATAAGAAAGTGAGTATGAACAATTTATTGGGGTCAGGAGCAATTGGGACACCTAACTGATACTAGATATATTGCATAATGTGTAACTTAATGAAATATCCTGAGCATATTAATAAAATGCTTGCAATTGGCAAAACTTTGAATTGTTTAAATAATACTCAACCACATGAAGCTAAATTGTAAAGTATTACCGGAAAAGCAATATTAAATAGATATATATCTGATATATATATCAAAATATTATTTTTCATGTTTTTGACACAAAATTATGAAGGTACTTATTTGATATAATATTTGTTTATGTAATGTATGTTTTTGAAACTTGAAACTGATCATAATTCATACCAAAAAACATTTTAAATCATTTAGAATTCATGTCTTAATGGACGAATGTGTGTTTGTAGGAGTTGAGAAAATGATGATACTGGAACCTCTGTAGCTGGCAGTAAAAAATCTAAAGATCTGGCGGAGAAATATCCAGGAACACTATACTTTACAGCAGGTATATATAATGTCCAGGTTGATAAAGAAAAATAGAAAGTTTTTAGGGGTTCCATGTTTCTGCACCACGCAGTAGACAATACTGTTGTTATATATGAATCAAAAATGGGTGATAATGTTATAAGACTCAATTTACTACCTTCAAAGACAACTTTTGATTTGAACCCTTAGAAATGAGCACGGAATATTCCAATAACTGCATTTAACCTTCAATTTTTTGCAATTCATAGAATCAGTAAATAGAGATATATTGGTAAAATTATTATTCATTCAATACATGAACATAGGGCCTATTAGATGGTTCAATCCAAGGAATGGGACAACATTTCAGAAGAGACATTAACTAGCCTTGTATGTCACCCCCGGCCCAATGTGTAGCAATATGAATACATGAAATAGGGCCTATTATATGGTTTATTGATGTGCTTTTGTTATTGCCAGGCGTTCACCCCCATTCAGCCAAGGAATGGGACAACAAATCAGAAGATACATTAGCTGGCCTTGTATGTCACCCCCAATGTGTAGCAGTGGGCGAATGTGGACTGGACTTCAATTAGTTCAACGTCGTTAAACTCAATAACGGCGTTCTTTATTATTAGGGATTTTCTTGGGGCCGTTATTGAGTTTAACCTCCTTACTATTCTTTCCTTTGATGCAAGTTCTGAATCCATCGAAACCATTTTTCCGCGATAACGTGCAACTGATACTTGACAATAATATAAAAACACATAACATCAAGCGATTTAACACAATATTTTTGTGTTAAATGTTCATTTATACGAGTAAAATGAGGCTACACTTACCAATCTCTAAAGTGACATTTCCGCATGTCCGTCATTGTGTCTGTTCGTCTGAGTGTCCCGGATCGTAAAATTAAACTACCAGCGAAACGAAATTGTTGTCAAATAGATTGATAATTATTATCGCGATTACTCGGGATAAAAAGATCAATTTTGAGGATAACAGGTATCTTTGATTAATTTATATAGACTTCAATAGGAACTTTTCAACACCTGAACAACAAATACATGCATTTAAACAACAGGTATTGAAGCTAGAATAGGCCTCTTATTGGCCATACATAGTGCATGCATGTAGTCAGCACGGGATGGGAGATGGTTGGGTTAAACAGAATGCTGATTTTGTGACTTATTATCCCAACGAACGAAGTTCGGTAGGGATATAGTGAAGCCCTCCGTCCGTCCGTCCGTCCGTCCGTCCGGAAGATAACTCAAATACGAGTTGACGGATTTTCTTCATATTTAGTGGAAAGATGTATATTGGTGAACAGTTGTACGCAAAAAAATTTTTTTTTTTTTAAATGACGGGACGTTTTCGCAAAAACCATAAATTTTTCATTCTAAACTAAAGTAATTAATATTATTGTTTGAAATTTTGGTAGTATATTCGCAACATCTATCTATTTCACATATATTCCGTGTTTTTCATCCTGACCCCCAGGGGCTGTGTATGGGGGGTCAGGAAAACAGTAATTTTCGCTAATTTTTAGATCTTTCTGAAGTATAGCTTTATTATACTCAAATGAAAGGCAATTAAGAGTAAATTGCAAATATTGTATCTTTTTTCTGATTCGAGCCTCGTAAAATTCAAAATGGCCGTCAAATGTACGATTTCGCAATAATTTTTCGATCCCTTCAAAGTATGGCTATATTATACTCAAATTGAAGGAATTTTGGAGTAGATCACAGTTATGGTATTATTCTTCAGATTTGTACCTCAGAAAATTCAAAATGGCTGCTTTGCAGCAATTCGCAATTCTAAAATTTAAATTTTTCAATTTTAACCAAAGTAATGAGTATAATTGATTGGAATTCGGTAATTGATATTTTGTTCGTTGGGATTTGCTACTCCGCGGAGTTGCCATTGTCTAGTTAAACACTATTTTGAAGAATCCTTTAGGTTCATTCTATAGTTTTCATATAAAAATAAAAAGTTAATCTTTGCTTGGGGTTCCTAGTCAACTCGTACCCAAGACAACTCGTACCGAAGACAAGTCGTACCCAAGGCAACTCGTACCCAAGACAAGTCGTACCCAAGACAACTCGTACCCAAGACAACTCGTACCCAAGTTTATTTTCAGTACTAGGTGTGCATATTAGGAAAACATATTGAGTCTGTATAATAATGTTTCAATGTTACACTGTAAATCAAATAAGTCTCACTATTTTTTTTGAATTTAGCAGACATTTTTTCTCAAATGGATTGAGCAATTAATTTAGATAAGTGCATTATTAGAGAAAAATAGTTTACTCATTTTGACATTAATCTTATCAGTAATAGCATTGTGTGAATAAGTACCAAAATAATATATAGATTTTTAAGAAATTAGCCCCAAGTTTTGATAAATCTTTGAAATTCTATACATGTTTTGCGTACTTGTCATTTCTGTCATTGATGTTCACTAAATTCACTGTACAATTGTGTACTTGAGTATTGTATTGTATTGTTTTCTACTGTATTGTATTGTACCATGTATTGTGCATAATGAATAAAATACATGATACATTGAACTTAATATCATTCTCCATGATTTTGTTATCATTGAACAATACTTTCCAATCCCATTTTAAATATATATTCTAATTGCATTTTAGGTTAGGTTAACTAAATAAATAAACATACAAAAATGCCATCAATAATTTGAAAAATAATTATAACCATAGGTCTTTCCTTGAACATAATGAGTCTGTGACCAATATAAAATAGTCAATATAAAATAGTCAATATAACTTAATTTACACTTAATTTTTCAAAGCTCAAAATGTCACAAAATTATATCTATTTTTTCCGAAAACTCTTCTACAAACTATTCTAAAGAGTATGGAACAATTAAAATATGTATATCTATACCAATTCCCAGTCAAACACTTGATTTAAAACAAAACATAAACTTGGGTACGAGTTGTCTTGGGTACGACTTGTCTTGGGTACGAGTTGTCTTGGGTACGACTTGTCTTGGGTACGAGTTGTCTTGGGTACGACTTGTCTTGGGTACGAGTTGTCTTGGGTACGAGTTGACCAGTTACCTTAGCTTGGTGATTGTTATACAATAACAGTTTAGTGACTCTCTATGGAGAATGAAACGAAGTAAGTACTAATTCATCTGAATTCATATATACTTTTACAAAGTTTGCAATGGATAGTTCAAAGGAGGTCCTTGAAAAGAGCATCACTAACCATTTTCTGAACTTCTGAAAAAATGTCAACTTGAGCGGCATTCAAGGTCATCAAAGCTCACACCATCCATCAAGTGGCAGACGTATCTAATAAAATACATTATATTCTATTGCAGATACTTCTTGCAAAAAAGACAGACAAGCCAATGTTCTGTCATGAGAGGGATGCATTTGATAGCATGGTTGAATTGTCCACACCACACCTTGGCCAGTTACCCCCTGTGGTCATACACTGTTTCACAGGTAAAGCTCACCAGGCTGAGAAGTACTTACAGATGGGTTTCTACATTGGTTTAACAGGTAGATATATTACAATAATGTTGGATTAGTTTTGTCAATATGCAATAGCAGTGAAATAATAACATTGAATATTGTTTTTCCTTTTATTCCGGTGTCCAACCCAAACGCTCTTGCATGCACGACGGAGCGTTTCATTACTGAAACTAAACAAAGAAATTCTCTGGAGTAGGAAAACTGGCGGGCGGGAATGATGAGCCGTCTGACGATTTCCCAAATAATCGGAATAAGAGGTATGAGTTACTTATTTCAAGTATACCATTCGATGGGTGTGTACTTGGCTTAGATATATAAGAGAAACGAGCGAAACAATACCTACAATCATAGTGGGATCTTTATAAGCCGCCATTTTATTTTGCACTTCAGCGTTTCCACGTGAATGAAATGCTCCGTCGTGCATGTAAGAGCGTTTTGGTTGGAGACCGTGTATATGCATGATAAGTGGGGAATTGGTAATTGTATAAGCTGAATATAGTCATGAAATAATCCTTTAATATAGTGATTATTGATCATTCTCCTTAATATAGTTGTCGTTAGTCTTTAATATAGTCATTGCCGCTCTTCATTGATCTTTTATATACTCATTGTTTCCCTTTAATATAGTCAGTGTTAGTCTTTATAGTCATTGTTGCTCTTTAATATAGTGATCATTGATCTCGAATATAGTCATTGTTTCTCTTTTATATAGTCATTGTTTCTCTTTAATGTAATCATTAATCATCATTAATTGATTATTTTGATAATAAAACTGAAAAAACATAAGTCCAAATCCGTATTACTTTTTGATAAGGCTTGAATGATAAACGTATGATATCAGACTACAAGTTTGTGATCAAATGTTAGATTGATTAGCCTTGTTGAATTTTCATTGTATGATATTTAATGTAATAAATAAGAAAATACATGTAAGTTTGTGAATACAACTTGTCTTCGGCTGCTGCACAGAAACATTTATTTCAATTTTAATGCAATTTTACACCATTGAAAGACAATTATAGCATTATCCAATGCCATTCATAACTCTTCAAAAAATCATTAGTTCGATATCCATATCTGATTTTTGTATGAAACAAAAACAGACTTTAATATTTACTCTAGAACGTATGATTTAGCTTAATGGCAGTTTGAAATATAAACATTTAATTGTATAACATAAACTTAACCCTCTACTCGTTCGATTCTATAGCTTAATTCTCCTTATGTTTCCAAATCTTTATTTTGAACTTTGTTGGGAAAATGTGTTTCTCACATAAAGACATACGAATCTGATATTTCTGGTTGGTATTCAATATATGTTTATTCCCCTCTGGCACACTCTATCGACCAAACTGAACGCAATAGGAAGCTTTGTTTATCAAAAATTCCCGGGAGTTGAATACCATTTTCATGAGCGGAATTGCAAGGTGAATAGGATTTTTGTGAACAGGATTTGGCGAAACAATAAGATTCCTTTTCAATATCAAAAATATTCCATGGTGTAATTCACCTGGAACTAGTAGTTTCATGGGATAAATAGAGTATGTTCTTTTTATTCCATAGTTAAAGTCATCATCAGAATCGTCGAGAAGTAAGTGATTTTTGCGAATTTTCCAAACGATCCGGTCATGTTGACACTTGGCCTCGTTATCATGCTAACTATGGAATAAAAAATATTATTTTCAAGACACGTCATGACGACAGTGTGATTAAAATATTTATACATCTGTTTGTAAGTATTTATTTATCATACATCTTTGTTGAACATTTTTTATCATTGCTTACAGGGTACTTATGGAAAGACAAACGTTCTGATGGTGTAAGACACAGACTCCAAAGAGAGAAACTACGTCTTTACCGACTTCTGTTAGAAACCGATGGCCCATTTATGTTTCCAAACATACAAGCAAAGAAACACCATGCATCTGTGATCGAATCTCTAACTCAGGAATCCTGTGATATTTTGAAGAAGTACAGCAATTTCCAAAGAACTGAGCCATCAGCTATGTGTATTATTAATGAACTGGTGGCTGCTTTCATAGGGAAAGAACCCAAGGAAGTTGCAGATAAAGCTTTTCAAAATGCAGTTAACATATTTAATTTAAGATGACATTGAACGATTAAAGCGAGTGAAGGAAAAACAACCAAATTTACATCTAATGATAATCTTAAAAAAACTTTCTTAACAGTGCCTTTTTTCCAACAAAGTACTTTTTCTTAAACACTGCATTTTATCCCTGGATTTTATCTCGACATCTGCTTAGTTATTATTGTTCATCCACAGTTGCAAATGTCTATATAGTACATTTATAGGTACTATGTACTTTCTGCATGCTTAAGCCAAGCATTCGATAGGAGAATTTCATATATATATAATTATAATATACATAATATAATATATAATGATATGATACGATATAGAGAATTACACGAATGGTTAGGGGGAGCAGATTTGTCCTCCTCCCTATGATCTCGGACACGGACAATCATATGCGGGTATATTCGATATTATCTGAAAGATCAATAGAGGTTTTTCGTTTCAAGAAAAATAAACTGAAATGAGTGGTATCAGTATCGAAAACATTCTGCAAAAACACGGTATTTTATGTAATGTTGACTGATTGAAAACAATTTAATGCGAAAATTATTTAGAAATATTTTATATAACTGTTTTTGTAAACATTTTTGTTTTTTAATGCAATTGTTTTTGCTCCTGCCAATTCTTGAGAATGAAATAAAATGTCTTTGAGACCCTTGTTGGAACAAAATAGCATATACAACATGTTTTTAGACCTTTATACAATGGAAGTTCTCCAAATCGATACTACTCCTTTTGGTATTTTACTAACTTACAACAGCTCTAACTTTCTTCCTATGGGTGTTACATTGCTTAGGGGCAGGGCAGATCTGCCACACCCTAACCGTGTTTAAGCGTTAATAAAAGTAGTTAAAATAATAGCTTCTACATGAATGTTTATCCCGATTCAAGTTCAGGGATATCACTTTGGTATAAATTTAACGTATTGCAATATTAACGCTTTTATGACACCTTATAATCACAATTATTGATAATCACACGATATACGATGTTATAATGTTTTATCTTTGGTTGAAATGTAATTTTTATGTCAATATATCATCTATTATTAAATGTTAACATGTTTAATTGAAATAGATATATTATATTAATTTACAATACACTGCTGCCTATCAATATGGTTCACTTATTTCATTTATCTTGTCCATGGTATTTCGGCGATTATATCATCACTAACAGCAAAGCACCAATAGTTTGCATATTCATCAATATATTGTCAGTTTACCAACCTTTTGGCAATGGGTCAACCATTGATGATACATTATCCTTTTGGCAATGTACCAACTATAATATATTTATATATATTTTTTTTATATATGGAAATATTGCTATACTTTATGATGGCACTCTTACTTTCATAGCAAACCTTGCCGAAAAATTAAAAATAGTACATAATGTAGATGGTGAATTTAGTTAGCAGCCTACTAAGGATAAATTATTAGTAGATAGTAGGCCAGAATGCTTAACTAATTTAGAAAATTATTCTGCCACCTTTATGATTCCCAAAGATCGGAGAAGCTATACATTGACTGTTTGTTACGATCACAGACAACTAGTTATCATTAGCTAGTATAAGAAATTAAGAATATTATTGATGTACTATGTAACTCTGTATCTAAAAACATACATATAAGTAAATGGACGAGATTAATCAAACCAATTTAGTATCAATTTAAAAATGAAAAAAAAACAAAGGGTGAAAACTATGATAAGCGTATCAATCATACATATTGTTATAATTAATTTGTAACCAACGGAATTACAGTCTTAATTACAGGCTTATACTAAGATAATCTAGTCTGTAATATTTTAATTACAATAATTAAGTCAGTATCGTCCAAACGAAAGAATACTAATTTTTTATTAATCAAATACGAGATGAACAGCTAGTTGTATTCAAATATGATATTTAATGCATAAACGGACTATTTATTGCTCAACTTTGATTGCATTTGATTATTGCTTTTCGAACGATTAGCTGCTTTAGATACAAGCGAATAGCTTAAAAGGAACAAGGAGCAGTCCGGCATCAGTGAAGGTTTAATTATGAGGTTTTGTTCAATACATATCCTGCTGACTTTGACCCTCATTGGGCCAGCATTAGCTCAGCCTGAGGAAAGGGGTAAGAAAAGGCAATTATTTAATATAAATACATATTCTATTGTTTTTAAGATATTTTGATATGAGGAATTAATTCTAATGTGCGTACGCTTTTAAATATCAAGGAGTAACGTTCTAATGAATTTTAAATAAATAAAAATGAAATTAATAAATTTAATAGTTATAATGAACAGTTTCCATAGTAAAAATTGTGTATCAAATTTCAAATGAGATTTTAATAGATTCTTGTCTGGATCGATTTAACTTAAATTTATTTCATTGTTCTTGTCAGACTTAGTGACTAGTGATATATTTAAAATTTACATCTTAGTGTTTCTAGACCTTTGTCCATATCATCGGTATAAAGTGCTTCTTCGATGTAAATTTTACAACAGTAGAATGAACCTAACTTTTTATATGGAATCATTTTTTGACCCCAATCACAATCGATGCTGAAAATTGGACTGTGTTAATACAGTTTTCTCTACGATTCAATAGGATTATCTAGTAGAACTGTTAGAGATGGTCATGATAATTGACGTGTCTGAACAGATGATGAAATTTCAGGAATTTTCCTTCATCACTCACAGATTTACGGTTGATGGTACAAAAAATAGACCTGAACTTTTTTAAAACTAAATACAGTGACCTGTTAAACCTATAATGTTTTTCAAGTATTCAAGTGTCTGCAGGTGATCAAATTTCACGAATATCTATTCATCGGTAAAACAATTATTTCATGTTTTCACGGTACAATTTTTGGACACCCTGTATAGTTTGTGTATCACATCAATTTCTTGAATGTTGGAGGAATATAATTGTTGTCCAAACATCAATGGCTAGTTTACGCTCGTTTAACATTTTGTTAAAGTTATGCAAGTTATTGCGCATGTGTGATGTGTTCCAAGAAGTCATCCCTCTCCGATCTACTCAGTTACTTTTGCCTGCGGTGTAGTTCTCTTACTCCTTCCAAGTTTCTTTGTAGGGGCGACTCTCTTCTGAATATAATCAATGCATTCTGGACGCCAGTACCCCGAGTACATTCCTAAATTGATATATTTTAATTAATATCTTATTTAAAATATATTATCTCGCAGAACTGCACATGATTTTTCCAAATGGCAAAGTTTAAACGCAAACGTATAACCGGACAACATTCATATCATGATTCGGGAGATATGACTTTCTGAAACATTAAAAAAGTTACAATATCTTCACCTTATTTATTGTACACCCTGTTTATAGCGTGGTATCTTTCCTTCCGCTTAAATAAAAAATCAAATACACTCCATGAGTTTGACAACGGGTATTTTTCTCCAAAATGGGCTTCACGAATTGCAAAACCTATGGAGGAGATTGTAGGTATATTCGAGATCGACAACATCTTATCATCTACTATTAGTATATTTTGAACACAAATTCGTTTTTGATGAACGCAAAATCGATCCACGATTTATCTTCTATCGTGACAACTGTATTTTGTAAACGAAAATGTATCTTATGTGAAATGTATTATGAATTGAGACGATCATGTTAAACAATGGATTCCCATTCATCGTATTATGTTTCTGTTTAATTCTGATATTTGCAATATCGACAGTTACATGCAATTAGCGATGATTAACTGTTATGTAATGTGAACATTTGAAGTCAACCATGCATGCTTTATTAAAACTCAAGTGCGAATAGAGATATATCATAAACCGTTTAAACATCACAGTGTTGAGGTCGACATTTAATTAAACAATATTACTTTTAATTCATAAATAATTTATGCCAATGACTCGTTCGTGATCAAATAGTGTTGATAAATATAAAACACTTACAATTTAGACTATTCATTCAGCATATTTACATTAATGTAGATATCTTAATAGGCCTACCATTTAATCATCAAGTAGAAATCAAGTTCTTTAACAAAATGGGAGCTTCAAATTGTTTAAAAGGAATCGAAATAATTGTTTACTAGAAAACATTTTAACATTTAGATTGGAGTGAGGTGAGGCTGCCAAATCAACTTGATACATAGTACAATTGCAATGTGCACATTGGATACCTAATATAGTCTAGAATGTCTTCTTCCTATTTTTATAGTGTTGAAGTAAGAAAGTACAATCATGTAATTGGAATCTAGCACTAATAGCGATACCTCAAAATGAGTTAATTGATGACTGTCTCATATGTTCCCATCAAATGCCATTCGTATCAACAATACTGAAGTGCGGGGGAGGGGGGTCAATCCGACCCCCTCTCGATTTTTCCTCGTATTTTTGCAATTTTGTGCGTCTCCGTTATTTGTTAGCTTGAGTCACAGATATAAGACACTTTTTGGGATAAAAACCAATGTGATTTGGGGTTAGGGGGCAAAGTTATGATAGTTGGAACTTGATGCCGATAAAATTGAAATTCTTAAATATTGATTGTTACTTTATTTCCAATGCTTAAGCTAGAAAATACAAAAATATGATTCCTGCTTTTTTCGATAAATGAAAATTTAGCATGTTGAATTCTCTTCCCAATATACTTCATTTCATGAAAATCGAATCACTATTTACAGTGTTATGAAGGAGTGGTATCGATATAGAGAACTTTTTGAACACACGTTTCTCATAAACCAGTCATAAAAATCTAATATTGTAATTGTACAATATAAATTTTGGTTATTTTAAAAAGTATCTTGTTAATGAAATAAAAGGTTTATATTGATTTTATCGATTTTGGGGGTGGTATAACTATAATATTAAGAGGTCTTAAAACATGTTGTATACGCTATTTTGTTCCAACAAGGTTCGGAAAGACATTTTATTTTATTCTCAAGAATTGGTAGAAAGGGGCAAAACCAAATGCACTTTAAGAAATGTTAACAAAAACAGTTATATAAAATAATTTGAAATAATTTTCGCATTAAATTATTGTCAATCAGTCAACATTACATAAAATACCGTGTTTTTTAAGAATGTTTTCAATGATTAGTTTAAGAGAAAAACATTGTTGAATTCAGTTCTCTATGTCGATACCACTCCTTTTAAAGGTAAAACACTGTCAGTCGCCATGTAGTCGCGACACGCGTTCTCTGAATTTGAGAGAAATATGATTTTTTTCAAAACTACTTCGATTTTTTCATATTCTTGAATGTTCATGCACACTGTAGTACCAGAATTATGATGACATAATAGGTGGTTGGCAACATCATTAACCGAAATTATATTGGAATGATACCGAGTAACAGATCCATACATCTGCATACTAAATCACTAATTGGCATTTGTTGTACATCTTAAAATATGATTGCCAAAGACAAAAACAAGCTGAACTTGAAATTACTGACTGTTAACTTCACCTTATATTTTTTTTTTTTTTTTTTTTTAATATAGTTTATTTTTGTGTCACAAGCATGTTAAAATACATTTAAAACATTTTAAAAACATTTGCTTCCAGCCGATGCCGGCTTATGAGACACCATATGGTACATGTATACAAAATATTCATTTTTCAACAAAATATTCAATTTTCAATGTAAACTTACTAAATGCAAAATAAACAGTCATAGAGACCATGTATACAAAGTTCATTGTTCCTTTACTTATACTGAAAGGAGACATCTTCCCCAAGGTTGATGTTCCTGTAGATAAGTGGAAAAAGAAACCATGATCAATTGGATTTCGCGATACCTGATATCTTTGAAAATGTGTAACTTCAGTTCTAAAAAAGCTTTTACCATGATTTTAGTTTTATTCGAAAGATAATAGATTATTCTTTCAGCGAAGCATTTTGCAGCACAAAAAAGAATTATCGTGAAAGAAAATAGATAATGTATCATAAAATGTAAAAAGTATACATCCCCTAGGTCACGTTGACCTTGATTTGACCTATGTTGACCTACTTTTCTGAAGAGGTAATTGAATAAGGTTTACAACAGTACCAACAACAATGATATAAGATAAGTAAAAAAAATCGCATTGGTGGGGGGTCCAAATGACCTTCCTCCTGCGACTCAGTGTTATAAAAAAGGTTGCAGACATTAGGGTTACCTAATTCTGTAAAAGATCAAAAGCACTGAAGTCTAAAATGAAAGAGAACGTAAATAAGCCACTTGTTACACAGTCAGGTTCAGTTAGTAAGTCAACATTCGTATGTTCTTAAATTTTTTACTGAGAATGGTGCCGAAATTGAAGTAAAGCTCTGGTTTATAATTTTCAATATACCTCAAACGTGTAAATGATAATTTTGATGTTATTTTACATATTGTCGAAGCAATATTTTAGATATGGCCTAAATTTCTCAATTTCCCTTATGTCCTCGTATACCCCTACTTCAAAAGATGTATGTTTTTGCCATTTTTATCATGGACCAACCAAACATGTATTTTTTCTTGTTTGCATAATATAGGATTACTTTCTGTTTTCGAATGTTGGGAGATTGCACTGAATTTATTTTTTAACGATATGGAGCAAACAAAGGCGGGTCAATTTACACTAGTACTGTAATATCCTAAATATATACTTACATTTCAAGGGTAGTTTTGAAGAATAATCAAGAAAATTCATCTTTTCAAAAGAATTCATCCCTGTCTACAATATATGAAATAGGCAGAAGAACATTCAGAACTACACTCAAATGCAATACATGCAGTTTGATTGCTCTAACGTGGAATACAATACAATATAATCTGATTGCCATATATCTTGTGGAATGCTTTTTGATATTGGTCTATATATTGTAGTGATTGACCTTTATATTAGATAACTCAATAAATTGTAGTGATATGCAGTCTGATTGACCTTTTTAAGATCCTGGGCGGATGCTATGACCCTTGACGACCAATGATAACTGAAGTCAAGGTCAATGTTATGGGTCAAAGTCATTCCAAGGTCAATGATCAATTTCTAGGAGTTGAAGTATTTTGAGGCCTTTTTGACCCACTTGTATGGGGAGAGATTGCCAGTATAAGTATTCTTAGATTTTGGAGGCTGTACTATCTTAGATTTTGGAGGATGTATTCCTCTTAGACTTCGGAGGCTGAGGCCGTACCCATCTTGAGACTCTTGAAACTGTACCATCTTAGATTCTGAAGGATGTATTCATCTTAAACTCTGGAGGTACGGTTGTACCATCTTAGATTCTGGAGGATGTATTCATCTTAGACTCTGGAGGCTGTACTATCTTAGATTCTGGAGGATGTATTCATCTTAGACTCTGGAGGATGTACCATCTTATATTCTGGAGGATGTATTCATCTTAGACTCTGGAGGCTGTACTATCTTTAAATTCTGGAGGGTGTATTCATCTAAGATTTCAGAAGCTTAAATGAACCATCTTAGATTCTGGAGGATGTATTCATCTTAGACTTTAGATACTGTACAATCTTAGATTCTTAAGCTATAACCATCTAAGACAATGAAGGCTGTACCATTTTAGTCTCTGCAGGCTGTTTCCATCTTAAGATTCTGGAGGCTGTAGACTGTACCATCTTAGGCTCTGGTAGCTGAACTATCTTACAGTCTAAGGGCTCTACCATATTAAGGTATGGGATGTTACTTTCTAGGGATTGAGCCGCATGTTCTCTGGGTATTGGATCATGGTGCAGAATTTTGAATCAACATTGCAACATGCACTCTTCTAAACATACATATGGTAGAATACTCTCATAGTCAATATTGCAAAAAGTGCCACGCCCACTTTTCAATTCACCCCTGCCCGATGATGTTAGAATTGCCAATATTAAGAACATTAATATATTCTGTTCATCTACAAAATTATATTTTATTGTATTTAACACATCATTGGCACAATAATATGTTGAATATTTGGTTGATATACCTTTTATTTTAAAAGGATGATATTGCGCTCATCCTGACCCTAAAACTGAACCTAGAAAATGAACAAATTATAAGAGCGTAAACATTTTTTTTCTGTCAAACAAATTAACCTACAGTTGTGATATTCATAGTGTCTAATGTCTGATAGTAGGACTCTTATGGATTTTTAAAAGTCATCACTATGTCTAATGATCAAATTATAGGCATTTATAGAGAAAAATAGGTGAAAAAAGCATACAAGTATGAAATTTTCTCAATATTTCCAAACTTACTTCAATAAAAATATCAATTTTGATATATTTTTAATACATACATGAAAAAACAAGGGACACTTTAAAAAAAATAAAAAATAAAAATGAATTGTTGTTATTTTGGAGGGTCATTGAGGAGGAGACATATCTTCAGCACGAAAATTCATAGTCTTCCACTACTTGGATTTTTCTAGATTTTTGATATGTTTTTTACTCACCAAGACACTTTGATTTCACCAGATTTAAAAGCTTTTGCAATTATTTCCTTTATTTTTGTGTTTTTTACTGGACTACATATACTGGATGACCATGAGGTGGATATGCCAGAATACCTATCCGAGGAAAAAAATACTAGGCAAGACAAAGGTTTTTTTTGTACCTACCTTGAGAAATACTTTATTTTAAAGGATGGGTTTACTAAAACAGAAGCCGAGCCTAGTATTTTTTTCGAGGATAGGTATTCTGGCATACGGGATGGTTGGATATCTCGTTGCTTCAATACTGGATAGAACGAGATCTTGCTGCCACGTATGGCAATAGACCCTACAACTTTTAACCAATTACATTTGAGTATTTCTTTGAGGTGCATAATAAATGAGATTACTCTATAGATTGTAGTGATATGTTGTCTGATTGACCTTTATATTAGATTACTCTATATATTGTAGTGGTATGCAGTCTGATTGACCTTTCTATTAGATTACTCTATATATTGTAGTGGTATGCAGTCTGATTGACCTTTATATTAGATTACTCTGTATATTAGCGGTATGCAGTCCGATTGACCTTTATACAGTTATATTAATTTACTCTATATATTATAGCGATATGCAGTCTGATTGACCTTTACATGAGATTACTTTATATATTGTAGTAATATTTTAGATTACTCTATATATTCTAGTGATATGCAGTCTGATTGACCTATATATTAGATTAATCTATATATTGTAGTTATATGCAGTCTAATTGACCTTTATATTAGATCATTCTATATATTCTAGTGATATGTTGTCTGATTGACCTATATATTATATTACTCTATATATTGCAGTGATATGCAGTCTAACTAACTCTATTTTGTAGTTGAATGCAGACCTGGTAGAACAGCCTGCCATGCATTTGACAAAAGATGCTGCGGTTGCAAAAGGAGGCTACAAGTGTTCAAAGTAAGTCCTTAAGAAAGAGAAGGAACAACTCGGATTTCAAATATGAATCTATGGCTATTTGAATATAAACCTGAGGTCGACAGCTTCAGCTATGAATTCTTTGACTTGATAATCTTGAACCATTGTTAGTTTGGAGACCGGTTTCTAAACAAAAATGTCAAGATGTTTCCCGAATACTATAATACATTGGATGAAGAAAAATTAGGGTGGGTGGTAGTGTCAAATATTCGCTTGACATCCGAATTAGCCTTGGAGTTCATGTTCTTTTTATTTTCTTTATTAATGTTTCTACTTTGTCGGCATGCCGTGTAAAAGGGTAGGAGGTCCTATTAATTTATGGTCCTACTATCCATTGATTAATTTATATGGTGACCTCTTTGTGCTCTTTCCCTTATTATCTTATACACAATCAGGGTCAGTAAGGGCCTTTAAAATGGGGGACCATAATCCCTGTGGGACCATAATTTCTTTCACACCGGTAGGTTAAAGAAAGTTCATACCGGTAGATTAACCCCAAAATATTAGTTTTATTATAGAATTACCATTATTTTATGGAAAAATACCATTATTATGGCACTTAACACGAGAATATAGCAAAAATTCATAGAATTTATTTTACAAATACTTAAAGTACATAAACATTATGCACTTGTAGTGGCTTTGCTAAAAGCATTGTCAGCCACTTGATTAATAATTGCAGGGTGAAGAAAAAAGAAAAATTTAAATATGGACCGAAGGAAGTAATTAGGAAATATTTCTATTTCGGAAAAAACTGCTTTTTAAAGTTCAGTTCTTAAAATTCATAATGCTGGTGTGTTAATTTCTCGGTTAATTTCAACGATTACCTTTTAGGTAGGTGTTTTCCATAAGGAAATGTATCCACTGCAAGCTATAAACTTAGGTTATTGTCTAGATGCACCATGTTTATACAGCAAGTGCAAGAGGCATGTAGATGCTAAAAGAGGTAAGTCGCTATCCGGGCGTTTCATAACCGTCTCCCTAATTCTCAAGTAATTTCTTGTCACCCAACATAATTTATTCTGAAATAAATGGTTTGTCGAAAACTACTTTCATTCATTTGACTTGAGCCCACATCAAGAATTTATTTCATGGCTCGATCAACTTGATATTGTCTACTTTCGAATCTATTGATTTAAATGTTATTCCTACATTTATTTGATTTAAGGTTGTGATAACTTTACACATTACATTATATACTTGTTTTACATACAACTTCAGAGTAGAAGGGAATGTCAATTATTACCCGATAAAGTAAACTCTTTCATCCTCCGAACACAGGCATTCGGAACTCGTAGCTCTTTCTTTGGAGGATGAAACTCTTTATGTTAACCCACTTATGATGATTTTTTGTACAATTCGACAGCGGAACTTAATGAGTTGGAGTTAAACCAGGCGGATGAACTCGATAATGATATTGCCGTAGCAGGCCCAGGAAATGCGCTAGGGGATGCAATACCTCAATGCAGAGGGGATGATCAATGTGAAACAACTCAATATTGTGCCGAAAACGGACAATGTCATTCGAAACTACCCTATAGTAGTGCCTGCACAAACAACAAGGTACATGTATATGAAAACGGCACCTTAAATGGAATATGTATATTAGGGGTTACATTCTATGAGAACTTTAAGGTCATCTTAACAATTACCATAAAAGGCGATCTGAACAATTACGTACCACATAAGGTTGTCTTAACAATTGCCATCATCTTAACACATACTTTATAATGCCATCTTACACCCCAGTCACATTACCTACACGCTGACCACACGATCTGTCCTTTCTGAGGTCAGTAGCATTTTAAAGCTCACAGTAGAATTGCTGCGGTCGGATATTTTTGCACCCCAGTCACATTTGTCGTACGGCAACCGTACGTCGACCAATTTTCATTTCTGCGGTCCCCGTAGAAATCAACGTCGTAGCCAAACCGCGGAAAGGATCCACGGTGACCTTGCATCAGGCTTACGGTCGACTTGCGTCTGTCGTAGGGTTCTGATGGGTCGTTGGAAACAGGTTGTGAACAAGTTCGAAAGACGATTGACCCGATTTCCCGGAAGATCCAGCTCGGTTTTTGAGCTTGTAATAGGCAGAAGGTTCTGAAATGTCCTTTTATCGTCTTATCCACATATCAAAAAATCACATATCATGTTGTATGATCTCATATTTATTCTGGAAGCGCTTTAAAACTTCTACTGACCAATCCATTTTTTAATTTATGTTTGCCTCCTTCAGTTTCACACCGTGCCAACTTCCACCGTTAATTTGAATTTTAAACCAACCCCCTGTTTGAAAATCATGGATTGTGAGTCTGATACTGCATTGTTTAACATCAATTTCGTCGGCTTCCCTGCTGCCTGTAAAAAACTGGATCAGGCGTACGGACACCGCAAGGCGACCGTAGTTTCTTACGCTCGCCGTAGAAATTAACTGATTTAATTGATCTGAGGTCGACATACGATCGCGACCGCCGTACAACAAATGTGACTGGGGTGTTAACAATTACCACGCATGCCATCTTAACGTTTACCATATAAAAGTCATCTATATAGAAGGATTAATATAAATATCCTTCCAACAGGAATGTAGCAGTGGTCACTGTGTGGATGTTTGTGTTGAATGTGAACAACAAACAGATTGTGGAGATAATTATCTATGTACACAAAACACGTGTGTGGCCAAAAAACTATTTGGAGATGCCTGCAGCCAGGACATGGTACAGTTATGCACCATTCAAAGGTTTGCGTGACACCCCCCTCCCCACGCGGAGAGGGTAAGGATTTTATACACAACATTGCCCCCAGCGGTAGGAATTTGACGAAGATTGTCCTCCCGGGGTTGGAGAATTTGATTTACATGTGCCCGGGAATGGGAATTTTTGACTGAATCTGTTTCGTCCAGTATACATTTTAAAGATGCAGCATACCATAGGTTTCTCGCCCAGACAATCAATAATGTTCCATTATTAGTGCTCATATGATATTTCACATACCATGGATATTGAGAATGATTTGTTGGTATATTATTGCCGAAGTATTGAAACAATCAACAGAACAACCAACCTCCAGAATTAAACACAATCGATTCCTCGGCTAGCGAGTGGAATCCCCGTTGAGTCACACAAGCGCTCACACACACCTTGAACCAGGCAGCCAATCGGGGTCATGATAAAGAAATCAAGGACCAATCAGATAACGAAAATAATTAGATCGGTCAGCACAATCGAAAAAATTAACACTGAACGCGGGGGATTTGGGACTTCTTCCTTGGTAAGTTGATCGGATAATATGTGATGAAACTCAATATGCGAAAAGGTCCAGAGGGGCCTTGATCGTGCTATCCTATGGTATAGAGCCTCTTTAAGATTCTCGGAATTTGCAAATGATCGGAATATTCAGTGAACTAATGATCCCTCATATCGGCAACAGAAGAAAATAACTCATCTATACGTTGGGAATAGTTCCAGGGGTGTTATCACCGAGAATAACCGCTGGAGAGAGGAATTCTAGAATACTTACCAGTGTCTTAATTATTGGTTAGTCAAGCTTGTTTTTGCCCTCCCTTCGGAAAAATGCACTTACGCGTTCTACTTATATTTAATTATGAGCTCATCATAATTTATTTGATTTAATATAGATGATAAATTTAATCCAAAATTTTTAGATTAAGGAATTGGACAGGCTAAATTTCTTTCGCCAAATTCCCCACCGATGCCCGTGTGGGGGGGGGTCTCACGCAAACATTTGAATGGTGCATTACTGTTGACTTCTATATCATTTAATTTAATTTTGAAATCTTTGAAACAAACTTATAAATGCTGGTTAAAATAAATGATTATTATAGGCTAAGTAAAAGGTACACATAACCACTAAAAATGAATCGCTCTTTGACAAGTGTCAAAGGTGACAAATGATATATGAGTCGTGACCTTCACTTTCTGTTCGTAATTATTTAGGCTTGTCAGTCAGGACTTGTGTGCAACAAAGGTGTCTGCAGCAGATGTGCAGATGAACTCGATTGCAGCGACACTCAGTATTGCAAAGGAGATTCCAAAGTTGGATACAGCTGTCGCCCAAAAGAAAACGTTGGTGTTAAGTGCGAGGAATCACTGGTAAAGTATTTGAATCTCCATCAATGATTCGAATTTGAGATATTCAATATATGGTTCACAAGACACTATGAACTAAAGTAAAATATGTATATTGCAATCAACATATCGACCTCATATTCATATAGAACTGGTCTTAAAGTTGAATCAAATTTGACCAAATGTAGATCAATGCTTGCATCATGTTTCCTTGTATATTGCTCGAAAGTGATTCATTTGATGAGAAAAACTGCATTCAAGAACACAGGTTTCTGAGAAGGAATGGTGTACCATACCAGCACTAATGGTTATAATCACCAGACTATTTATAAGAAAACCAAGAACAAAACAGATATAAAGGGTAGGCCAATACAAATTGGAACACTTTTCTGTTTATTCAATTGTCTTTATTTTTCAGTTCAATCCACAAAAATTATGGCAAAACGATTATTTGTGAAAAAATTATGTATACACGATGATTATTTTTAGCTTGTCATAGTCATGATCTGTATTCTGCGAGTGTGAATGAAAATACAGTATCTTCCATACCATACAATGTATATTCAAATGGTCTCAACACAATTTCCATCAATTAAAACATATGTAGTTATCTCTAAGAGACATGTCACCCTTGAATAATATAGCTTAACTGACCTTAGCTCTTTTTCAAAACTGGCACAAAATGTCTCACGACCTGTCATTCAAGCCATGAATTGTTGTCAAACACAGATCAAACTGAGCGTCCAGGTTGGCGGAGGACAAGTTCATGAAACCCTTGCGTTGAGTATAAAAAATTGGAACATTTTTCGATCGATTGTAATTTTTTTGTAAGTCATGCATTACCTTCATGCTTGACTTACAAGATAGGCTTGAAAATTGTGTTGAGACCATTTGAATGGCATATATTGTATGGTATGAGATACTGTATTTTCAGCAATGATGTCTCAAGCATAGAACATTTGGAAATGTTCATGACCAAAAATAATCATACATACATATTTTTATCTTAAAGATTTTCACTAATAATCATTTTACCATTGTCTGAATTTTTATGGACTGAACTGCAATGATAAAGAAAATTGAATAAAAAGAAAAATGATCCAATTTTTATTGGCCCACTCTGTATGTGATCGTTGAGAAATGTGGCTGGGAAATCTTGAAGATGATACATTGTTGTGCGATCTGTAAAATCTCCATATACATATTTTAATCAACTATCAAAACACTTGCCACATGAACCCACAAAAAGAAAATATTGTACGTGGCCTGTAATTAGCTTGCAGTCACAATCACTGTGATTCAACTTTGCTACGGGACATCTCGAAAGTTGTTGATGCCTAAACGGTCCGTAAATAGGGGAAATAGTTATACTTATATTATTATCTTTATCTCTACGATGTATCATTTCTATCAACAGGAATGTAACAGTGGACACTGCGTTGGTGTTTGTGTTGAATGCGAACAGCAATCAGATTGTGAAGATGATTATCAATGTAAAGGAAACACTTGCGTAAACAGGAAACCTTTTGGAGGCTCGTGTAATAATGATAAGGTATGGTACTGAAACCTTTTGGAGGCTCGTGTAATAATGATAAGGTATGGTACTGAAACCTTTTGGAGGCTCGTGTAATAATGATAAGGTATGGTACTGAAACCTTTTGGAGGCTCGTGTAATAATGATAAGGTATGGTACTGAAACCTTTTGGAGGCTCGTGTAATAATGATAAGGTATGGTACTGAAAATCTTGAGATTCAGTGTCAGTTTTTGTCGTGCCACTTCTTTGCCAAATATTTGTTGTTCATTCGTTAATGAAATAATTCCATTTATCCAATAATCTTCAGTAGGCTCATACAATCAGATTTTGATGCATCGTTTATTGATATTTTTAAGGACTGTCTATCAGAATATGTTTGTAACGAAGGTGCCTGTAGCACATGTTCAGAAGAACGTACCTGTGGAGGTAATGAATACTGCAAAGGTGACCCAACAACTGGATATAGATGTAGCTCCAAGGAGGAGATCGGTGATATATGTAACACCCCATCGGTGAGCCATACTCATTAACTTAAAGTCCCACTTTGCATATTTTCAATATTACATGGCAAAATTAAGTCTTACGTTTAATTTCATAGTATTTCCAATGGATTGATAAGTACGTTATCTTTCATTAGATACCAAAAACACAGCTCAAACGGGCTACATCGAAGCTTGCAATATGTTATTATCAAAAAATATATTTGATCTGTCAAGCTTTTTAAATCAGGTTTTCATCAATGTCACGGAAAGATGGCGAAGTTGTTTGTATTACACGACACATTCATTTTTATAGAAGTGTCACCATCTTTTAAATCAAGAGTAATTTAAAACATGCACTTTGTCAAAAATGTGCATGCACTTCTAATGATCTCTGAACTTCAAATGTCGTTTTCTGCATATGTTATTTTTTCCTTGATTTAATATCATTGCAAATCAAACTTTGTATCATATCTAATTAAGTGTGTGAGTAACATGTTTCATTTCAGAGAGCGTGTTGTAGCTACTGTAATTGTGAAGGGGGTGTTGCTAATTTGCCCGGGGGTTCACTGTATAGAAGTTTTGGCAGGGGTCCTATGCTGAACCCTCAAATGTCAATATGTTGCCATACCAATATGTCAAATTTCAATGTGTTCCCATACCAACAAAAATAACGGCCAAAAGCGATACCAAATGTCAAAATATAAGACCAATGCCATACCAAATGTTCAGCTACAGTATAAGACCAATATCATACTATATCTTAATATAGGACCAATCACATACCAAATGTCCAAAGTAGAAAAAAGCTAATACTCAAACTGAAGAAGGCCTTGAGAAGAAGGCAGATCTATTAGGAAAAAAATTAAAAACTCGAATTAAGGATACGTGAGACTACTAGACTAATACAACATCACGGGTGTGAGGTACATATTTTTCACGACCATTCTCATACTAAAAAGTGGAAAAATCTCGCCATTGTCAATCCTCAAAAGTCATAATTTGGGGCGGGGCATTCTCATACCAAATCCTTAAAATTGGGCCCAATGCCATAGCAAATGTCATACCAAATTACCTATCTTCAGCCATTTATAAAAATATAGGTAATTACTTGGGTGCATCAAAAAGTTTTGCAATTTTGACTCTATCGCAATAACTATATTGAGTTATGTCATCATATTTGGCACAAACAGTGATCATACATTTGTGGACATACCTGTAAAATTATGTGCAAATTATGTGCAATAAAAAAACTACGTATAGGCATAGTAAATGTAAATGGGCTATTTACGCTAATTTTAAACTCCTTATTATAGGATATGCTGGAAACTTGAACATGCTTGAGAGACTGTTAATATGTTTTCCACTTATGAATTAAAACTGTATCATATTTATCTATAGGAATGTAGCAGTGGACACTGTGTTGGTGTTTGTGTGGAATGCGAACAAAAAACAGATTGTGAAGATGATTATCTCTGTAAAGAAAACACATGTGTTCAGAGGAAACTGTTTGGAGGTTCATGTAGTGAGAATAAAGTAAGATATTGTCAATCATGAATCTCAACGTATCTTCTTTGTTTTAACCTAATATTAATTAGATATGCAGTCGTCGATCAAACAATTCCATTTATTCAAAGTTTTTAAGTATTTGATTCTATTCTGATGCAACGTCCATTATTTAAACCTTGGCGGGTCTCTTCTAAGGGTATTAGTATTAGTTTACCAGGCATTTATTTAACAACATTGATCATGATTGACTTGAGCAATATGTGACGTCATAGCGGCAGGCCATAGTGGCGGCCAATAATGGAATAACAGCCCGGCAATGTTATCCGGGAATTGAAACTTCATTCAAAGCATATAATTTCCGTTCATTGGTACTCTGTTTTTGCTTTTTCAGCCCTAGGCATTAATGGTGGTAATAATAGTAATAACGTCATTTCTTCGGGCAAAATTGTGAAATATTGTACCTTGGGCCTTCGGTCTTTAGTCGAATATTATACAAATAGTGACTGCCTTTGAGGGCAATAGTGTAAATTATTTCCCCGAGGAAATATCCTCTACAAATGTATTATTCCCGAAGCCGCAGGACAGACAGACGTATTGAGCTTAGGGAACTTTATACACGTTGCTTATACTGTATCGTTCACGCACGTCTGTCATGGTGAACGGAGTTGATTTGTGTTTGTGCTCATCCTCCATTTCTCTGTTTTTCGTCTGCGCAGTGATGATGCGCAAACGTTTCCAAGGGTAATAGAAGTTGCAATCGTGACGTCAGCGGGCAATAGTTCAAAAGTATATTCCCGCTGACGTCACCTTTGAGGGAATATAACTTTCCGAGGGAAAAAGTAAATCTATTTCGGAACACGTGACAAGGTATTGACCAATCAGGATTAGTGTTACATATTGGGTATATAATAATTCATTATATTGCCCTTTGGAATGTCGGCGCTATTGTACTTTATTTATATTGTTTTAGGACTGTTTATCAGACTTCGTTTGTTACGAAGGTGCATGTAGTACTTGTTCAGAAGAACTAACCTGCGAAGACAATGAATACTGCAAAGGCGACTCCACCTCTGGATATAGTTGCAGCTCCAAAGAAGATGTCGGATCTGTATGCGATTACCCATCGGTAAATTGTTTTCTTTGTTTTTTAAAGGCCACATATAAAGTTTAAACAAGTTTAGAACACAAATTAAATACCACTTCAATTTAAAAACAACATGCTTGAAACCGTTACTATAATTATTTAAATGAATGTAACATTTCACTACTTTGTTCCATTATGAATAAACAATGTATAATTCTTATTCATAGGAATGTAGCAGTGGACACTGTGTTGATGTTTGTGTGGAATGTGAAAAGCAAACAGATTGTGGAGATGAGTATCTATGCGAAGGAAACACATGTGTTCAAAGGAAATCCTTTGGAGGATCATGTAGCGAAGATAAGGTAAGACAATGTACATCCTCCATGTCAGTTTTGTTCTATGTTTTTCTTGTAGTCCAATGCTTTAATTAATGGCTATTCGTATGATATCAATAATTCCGAATAATATCTAATACATTTTCGGTACACCCATATGCACAGGTTTTATGTTGTTACAACGTTCATTCATACTGTTTCAGGACTGTCTGTCAGAATTCGTATGTTCTGACAATGTCTGCAGTTCATGTTCAAAAGAACCTAATACCTGCGAAGACAATGAATACTGCAAAGGTGACCCAACAACTGGATATAGTTGTAGCTCCAAAGAGGATATCGGTGCTATATGTAACACCCCATCAGTGAGTCCTACTCGTTATTGTGCTTGACGGTTTGTGAAAATCTGTTAAATGCTACTTTAAATTTAACAAATTGGCCAGGGTTGGCTGGTTTATAATGTTGATGCTGGAAAACTAGACATGCTTGAAAGGCTGTGACTCTGATTCCAATGTAACGAATGTTATAATTCACTATTTTGTTCTACTTATGAATTAAAACTGTATCACACTTATCTATAGGAATGTAGCAGTGGACACTGTGTTGGTGTTTGTGTGGAATGCGAACAACAAACAGATTGTGGAGATGATTATCTCTGTAAAGAAAACACATGTGTTCAAAGGAAACTGTTTGGAGGTCCATGTAGTGAGAATAAAGTAAGATATCGTCAATCTTGTATCTCAACATATCTTCTTTAATTTAGCCCGATATTAAGATTAATATGCAGTCGTTTATGAAACAATTCCATTTATTGAGTGTTTTTAAGTATTTGATTCTATTCTGATGCAACGTTCATTGTTATTGTTTTAGGACTGTTTGTTAGAACTCGTATGTAACGAAGGTGCATGTAGTACTTGTTCAGAAGAACGTACCTGTGAAGACAATGAATACTGCAAAGGCGACTCCACCTCTGGATATAGTTGCAGTTCCAAGGAGGAAATCGGGGCTGTATGCGACCACACATCGGTAAATTGTACCCTCAATTATGTTACAGGTTGAGTCAAAAAGGTAACCCAAACAAATGTTTATAACTCAGTAATTCGGCATGGGGTTAGAGTCATAAATTATACAAGTATACAGGGTGGTTAAAAATGGCAACCCTGCATTTTCATTGAAACCAATGAAATTCAGTAAAAAGAACATTGAACAAGGTCTTATTGTGCCAGATATGATTTAAAACAATGTTGAATGACCGAGTTATCAACATACATTTGTTTGGGTAACTTTTAAAATATAATGTTAAATACCAATCCTCTTCATTAATAAACGTTACCGCTGAGTCGTACCTTTTACATTATATAGTACTAAGTTGAAAAAATGAAAAAAGTAACTTGTTTAGTTATGTTTTGCTTTGCATATCGCGAGTGTCTATTGTTATGTATATTCACAGGAATGTAGCAGTGGACACTGTGTCGGTGTTTGTGTGGAATGTGAAAAGCAAACAGATTGTGGAGATGAGTATCTATGCGAAGGAAACACATGTGTTCAAAGGAAATCCTTTGGAGGATCATGTAGCGAAGATAAGGTAAGACAATGTACATCCTCCATGTCAGTTTTGTTCTATGTTTTTCTTGTAGTCCAATGCTTTAATTAATTGCTAGTCGTATGATATCAATAATTCCGAATAATATCTAATAAATTTTCGGTACACCCATATGCACAGGTTTTATGTTGTTACAACGTTCATTCATACTGTTTCAGGACTGTCTGTCAGAATTCGTATGTTCTGACAACGTCTGTAGTTCATGTTCAAAAGAACCTAATACCTGCGAAGACAATGAATACTGCAAAGGTGACCCAACAACTGGATATAGATGTAGCTCCAAGGAGGAGATCGGTGATATATGTAACACCCCATCAGTAAGTCCTACTCGTTATTGTGCTTGACGGTTTGTGAAAATCTGTTGAATGCTACTTTAAATTTAACAAATTGGCCAGGGTTGGCTGGTTTATAATGTTGATGCTGGAAAACTAGACATGCTTGAGAGGCTGTGACTCTGATTCCAATTTAACGAATGTTATAATTCACTATTTTGTTCTACTTATGAATTAACAATGTACCACACTTATCTATAGGAATGTAGCAGTGGACACTGTGTTGGTGTTTGTGTGCAATGCGAACAACAAACAGATTGTGGAGATGATTATCTCTGTAAAGAAAACACATGTGTTCAAAGGAAACTGTTTGGAGGTCCATGTAGTGAGAATAAAGTAAGATATCGTCAATCTTGTATCTCAACATATCTTCTTTAATTTAGCCCGATATTAAGATTAATATGCAGTCGTTTATGAAACAATTCCATTTATTGAGTGTTTTTAAGTATTTGATTCTATTCTGATGCAACGTTCATTGCTATTGTTTTAGGACTGTTTGTTAGAATTCGTATGTAACGAAGGTGCATGTAGTACTTGTTCAGAAGAACGTACCTGTGAAGACAATGAATACTGCAAAGGCGACTCCACCTCTGGATATAGTTGCAGTTCCAAGGAGGAAATCGGGGCTGTATGCGACCACACATCGGTAAATTGTACCCTCAATTATGTTACAGGTTGAGTCAAAACGGTAACCCAAACAAATGTTTATAACTCAGTAATTCGGCATGGGGTTAGAGTCATAAATAATACAAGTATACAGGGTGGTTAAAAATGGCAACCCTGCATTTTCATTGAAACCAATGAAATTCAGTAAAAAGAACATTGAACAAGGTCTTTTTGTGCCAGATATGATTTAAAACAATGTTGAATGACCGAGTTATCAACATACATTTGTTTGGGTAACTTTTAAAATATAATGTTAAATACCAATCCTCTTCATTAATAAACGTTACAGTTGAGTCGTACCTTTTACATTATATAGTACTAAGTTGAAAAAATGAAAAAAGTAACTTATTTAGTTATGTTTTGCTTTGCATATCGCGAGTGTCTATTGTAATGTATATTCACAGGAATGTAGCAGTGGACACTGTGTCGGTGTTTGTGTGGAATGTGAAAAGCAAACAGATTGTGGAGATGAGTATCTTTGTAAAGAAAACACATGCTTCCAAAAGAATCATTTTGGAGGTTCATGTAGCGAAGATAAGGTAAAACTCAACTCACTAATGGATATTAATTGTATATTTACCTCTCTTTTGATTATTTGTTTACGTTGTTTTTCATGTAAAACTTAGTTTAATGTAACATTTCATATATTTCCCTGAGTTAGATAATTACATCCTTGTTTTCAAGCATTTTACTTTTTACATATTTAGCCGTATTATCTCAAAAGAACAACATTCTGTGGGGATATAGTGAAACCCTCCGTCCGTTCGTTCGTCCGCCATCCCGTCCGTCCGTTTGCTAGAAGAAAAACAGCAACAAAAACAAACATCGGTAAAGACATCACATATATTCAGCTGTTCACGGGGGCTGGAATTTTGGACCACACTATGCTACATTGCACTACACTACTCTACACTACACTGCACCAAGTCTAAGCTATCATAATATATACAATTTATACAAAAACTTGTTATTTACATTTGGGCTTTGTATAAAAATAATGTATCATTTTTACTGATTCGGGCTTCGGAAAATTCAATATGGCCGCCCAATGTCGGAATCACAATAGCTGCCTGATCTTTTCAGTACGGCTATATTATACTCAAATAAAAGGTATTTTAAAGTAGATCACAATTATGGTATTGTTTTTCTGATTCGTGCCTTAGATAATTCGAAATAGCTGCCTAAATCGGGAATTAGCTACAATTAAGAGATCTCTCCAATGTATGGTTACATTACACACATTTGATCTCAAATATTGTTTTGTCTTTATGATTTTGAGCCATTGAAACTCCTAATTGGTCACTTAAATGCTTAAATTGATGGAACTCGGGTAAATCTCTGATGTCTGTCTCATTATTTGTATATCAAGTGTAGAGTATAAGATGGTAAATACTACATTTTGATATCCAACGATTCAAACTTATAATGTTTGTTGGGATTTGCTACTCCGTGGAGTTGCCAATTTCTAGTTGCATTTGTTCTAACATATACTTTCTACCGTCTTAATAACGGGCTTAATAAGCGCCACATGTTGACATCACTTAAAGCTATTGTTTTACTTAGGATTGCCGGTCTGATCTCGTGTGCAACGAGGGTGTTTGTAGTACATGTACTAGAGAACCCAGTAGCTGCACAGCCGAACATTATTGCAAAGGGGATTCTAAAGACGGATTTAGATGTAGCCCAAAAGAATACTTCGGTGCTAAATGCGATGATTCACTGGTAAATACAAGGGTTGTTCAAAAAGTTTTGCACAAATCTAATTTTAAAAATAATATATAATGTATATGGACTTTTCATTAATATTGTTTATCTGTCTATTTTTAAGGAGATTGTTCGAGAGAAAGCATCATAAACGAATGAAGTCAATACGCAAGCAACTCAACATCGATCAAAGATTTGTATCACATGATCTTTGTTTAGTCAATCAGTCAAATGTGCGGAAATAACATATCCACTTGAAATACTAAACGATCTTTTGTATTAAGGCATGCGCAAGTGGACACTGTGGAGATGGTGATCTTTGTGTTGATTGCGAAGAAAGGTCAGATTGTGAGAATGGTGAATTGTGTACTGACAACACGTGTGTTCCTAGAATGGTGTTTGGAGATCCTTGTGAGGAGGACGACGTAAGAACAATTTTATGGAAATACATTTTACTTTATTTAGTGTAAAGCTTACGTAGCTTTAAACAGAACTTTTAATATCCCAATAATTCAAGTCCCAGCAGGAAATAGACAGTGAGTATGGTACTTGAGTCTCACTATAACCTGCACAAACTATAAGAATGATAATTTTAAAAGATATGTGAAAAGCCATAGACTTCTTAAGAGGCCTTATTGTAAAGAAATATGTGAACACAATTAAATAAACATTATGACTTTATCAATGCCACCTTTCAGGAGTGTGAGGTGGATCTAGTATGCAACACAGGTGTTTGCAGTAGATGTAGAGATGACATGGGATGCACTGAACAGCAATACTGTAAGGCAGGGGATCCAAATAGCATAGAGGGAACATCAGGCTTCGAATGTAGCGCAAAGGAAGATATCGATAGTCCTTGCCTCGATGCCTCCGTGAGTCACTTTCACTTTTCTTATCTTTGTAAATCATGTAATCTTAGCATTATGTAAATCATGTAGTAGTTGTGTCTCTTTGTATTTCTTTAGAATTGCCTTAAAGGACACTGTGTAAAGAATATGTGCGTGGCATGTGAAGAAGACAGCGATTGTGACAATGAGCTTTGTAAATCAAACACATGTGTTGGAAAACCAGTATTTGGAGAATCGTGTGAAGCAGAAGATGTAAGTTATATTTGTTTTGCATTAGAATGAATGGAGCATAATACTGTATCAATACTGGATCTGTTTTGGGAACCATCTCAACATACGAATTGGTGGCATTTATAGTACAGCTTAAAGAATGTGTGGACAATGGTATTCAAAGATTGAATTGTAATTAGTTACGATCATACCAAAGACGCACCCTTGGGTAGCAGCTTGGTCTCATAACGCAGCTACTTTTTCTCTAGCTGAAATCTTGGTTCGATTCAAATGCAAGGTGATACATTTATCACTGAGTCTAGTTTGTTACAATTCACTTAGGTTTGATCATTCCCCTGTGCAATCGCATCATTACATTGGTGGCAATGTTGGGATCATAATATTGGTTGTATCCTTTGCGCTCATATATGTTGTGTGTGCCTGATAGTTACACAGCAGGTTTTGCCATTGGATGTTGACCGTTTAAGAGGGGGGGGGGGGCAGTTTAACATAATGGATACCAAGTTACTAGTTAAGGGCAGCCACCTAAACTTTATTTTTATCTTTTTTAATGTGACACATTTGTTAAATAGTTTTTAATATTCTCATATTCAGGAATGTGTTGCTGGATTAAAATGCAATAAAGGCGTCTGTAGTTTATGTGATTCCGACAGTGACTGTACATTGGAAGAGTATTGTAAGCGTCCTGTAGGTGAAATGGGATACTACTGTGCAATTAAAGAAAATGTTGGAACCATCTGTAATGCAGACACTGTAAGTATGAACACGACGGTTTACGTGTCTTTCATTGTCTGTTTTCAAAGCATTGGAATTATATAACCATGACCTTTTTATATGACTATAATGGATATGAATGTATTTCAAGGAATGTAACACAGGACATTGTGTTGGCGAAGAGTATTCAGAGTTGAGATGTGTTGACTGCCGAGAGGACGCTGACTGTGTAGGAGGATTGTGCAAAGATCATACGTGTGTGTCAAGACAAGGATTCGGAGGATATTGCTCTTCAAATGATGTACGATATTTATCTTACGATTTCTACGAATATTTTGTCCATGGCCTATTTATTCTCATATTTTAAGGTTGTCAACTACCTTTTCCTGTGGGACTACATGGTCGAAATGTTTATTTAGCTTTCCTCTCTAAGTGGCAAATAATAGAACGGTATACCCCTAGAAAATAATCCAAGGGGGTTTAGGATATGAAATAAAGTATGGTTGAGAAAAACGACATTCTAAAATTCCCAAAATTATGTGTAAAATTCAAATTTGAAACATGACACTTTCATTGGAATTCATAAGGTTTATGCTTCCAACATTTGATAATCTGAATGTCATAATTTATTTGCTTTCTGTTATTTTGATGGTTTCTACCCTAGTCGTTTCAATTAAACAAGGCTTATACGAGACATCCTAGCAATGTGATTGTGTCATGTGTTTTTCCGATGGTGTCATGTGTTTTCCCAGAGCTCCCTTAGTTTGTATATCAATATCATAATTAGATTATGTAACATTTAAAATTGAGCTTATTCTTTATTCAGATTGGTAATCTTAATGACGATTTTTATTCATTCGGTGCCACCAAGTTAAATTTCAAACCATTGCCAACGATTGGTCCAAGTTTCAGAAGTATGTTTCCAGAAAAATTCTATCGGAGGTACTACAAAATAAACAATTGGTTACAATTCTGAGTAATTACCAGTTTTCAAGCATTCTGGATATGTTTTCATAGAATTGTGAGCTAGATCTTGTGTGCAACGAGCATAGGTGCAGTCGCTGTATGAGTGCCGACGACTGCATGGTTGATGAATATTGCAAGGGAGACTCAACAAGTGGATACACGTGTAGCGAAAGGGAGACCATTGGAAGTGAATGCAGTGAGCACTCGGTACGTCAATTCGTGATGCGTATTATCATTATGCAGTATTCAATGCAAAATTCCCAAAGCACGAAGATACATGACAATATCCAATGGGACACATTGCAAACAAAATTAAAAACCTTCTCCGCAGAGTACTGTTAATCATACGTAATCAGTTGTCCTCATAACGATCATGCTCAGCTGTAACTTTTCAAAAATGCCCCCCCCCCGTCCCCATCAAACTTGAACTTCATATTTGGCCAGTGTGTTGTGAAGTGTAGGTACCGGTTTTGAAATATGATTTGAAGGCGCTCATAAAGATACTCTATTTTTTGTTTCTGAGTCAATCTGGCTGAAATTTTGACTCAGTATACCTCCACTATTCATACATTGAAATCCTAAATTACAGGAATGAGTTTATAAAGAAAAAAGTTATGGTTGCTATGGTTCTTATGGTAGGCGGAGCAGGCAAAAGGATTTGTTTTGTTTGAATGTTCACATTTTTTAAATGTTGTCCTATTTATTTTACTAATAGTATCTCAAGGGTATAGGTGTTCAACATCGTGTCCATCATGGTCTATACACCTCTGCTGTCTCACTACCCATTTCTCAAACAGACAGCGGAACCCATTTGGGAAATATCTGGCAATTGATCCTTGTATGGATGCCAACTTAATACTCATTGTTATGAATGGGATATCCAAATGAATGTTAGAAACCTCCTTGGCATTGGTACGGAAGAATGTAATTTTACAAACGAACAAACACTTGCGTGTCTAAAAGATATTGCATGTATAGTCATGCAACAATATACGTGCCGTCAGCGATATCTAACAAACTTACACAATTATTGTAACTTCATTCAGTGGAGGAGGGTGGCCCTCAAGGGAGGTACATGGGCCGACTAGGGGACTATCCTCTCTCACTGAAATATAATTAATATCTAACTATTATGGATGAACAGTACCAACCTTGGGGAAGGTACAGAGTGTAATGTGTAACTTTTTTCTTGTTTTAACTGGTAGTACCAACCTTGGAGAAGGTACTCTTTATAAAGTAGAATGCTTAATTTCTCTGGGATTGTATGAAGTCGTCTGATATAATAGATGTTGGTTCCTCTACAGATTCAGAAATGCAGGATATAGCAATACCCCTAACCCAACTCCGTAAAAGTAACAATATTATATTATTGTCATTTGATGGTACTTTTTTATTGACTGATGCTCATATTATTATATGTGTATGATATACGTAAATGATCATAACTGGATGTACTGACCTTGGGGAAGGTACACTCTATATGCTTTAAAACTCACTGGACATTTTAAGTAATTATTCTGAAATATTTTGTACAAACGTCAACGCAGTAGCCTGACGCTGGCAATTTATATAGATTAGAATTTGTTTTGTGCTTGCTTGTTTGATTGTTTGTACATATTGATATTTTGCATGAATGTATCTCCTTTTTATAAAGGGCAATAAATATATACACACATACATTAGGTTCTCTTCATAGGTCGAACTACGGACTCCACTAAATCATTCCTCACCAATGCCATTCGCAAGAAGAGAGTAATGCATGGAGACCCAAGGGACCCCGGCTACTATACTTATCATGATGACAACCCCCCCCCCAGTAACACTTCATATCTTGTAAAGAATATTATCTCAAACAAATTGAAGATGGGTCGACAATATCGAGCTCTCTACTCACCTGACAAGGGACCCCTTGACTTTGAAGTTTCAGACAGAATTAAGAATGATTTTGGTGGAATTCATCATTCGACCTTAGGAAAAATTATGAGATCCATACATCGCTAGATATTTCCCAAAGGGGTGTCCCCATCTGTTTGAGGAGTGGGTAATGATACAGAAGAGGTTTAGATACTACGATCGACACTATGTTGAACAAATATAACCTTTATATACTGTTAGAAAAATAAATAGGACAACATAAAAAATGAACATTCTAACGGAACTAATCCTTTTGCCTGCTCCGCCTACACCCGACTCACGTTACTTTATCAACCATAATTTTTTTCTTTATGAACCCATTCCTTTTAATTTAGGACTTCAATGTGTTAATAGTGGAGATGGGTACTGAGTGAAAATTTCGGCCAGAAGACATTCGTTTCTTCTAGTGCATATAACAAAGTAGTAATATCCCTATTGATGGTCCCCTTTACACTTGAAAGCACATTGTAGGTTTTTGGAGCGATCTAACTCTTTTTTTGACTCTACTTTATCCCTTTACTTAGTACACCAGCCATTATTGAAATGTACTGTCTTCGTTTCATACTTCAGAAACCTATGTACTATCTTCGTTTATCTGAGAAACTATATTCATTTCCCAAGTGAGGGCATTTTTGGCAATTATCCAAACAATTACTGTATTCATTTCTTAGGTATTACCATATTTTGAAACCATAACTTAACCATTACATATGGGCCAAATATTTGAAGGATGAAGGTGCAAAAATCGAGAAAACAAAAATTATTATCAACCTGAAGTCGAGCCATGTTGACACGAAGACCTTATGTCTTCGTTTCTAGTTGATCCCCTGTGACAATGCAAAAACCTAATCGAGAACAAACAACTTAACTCAATTCAATACATATCATGGCAGTAGGAAAACTCTTACCTTAACACCAGGTAATCCACTGAATAACTTTCACGGTATAGTAAGAAAACGCTTACACGGATGTGTCTTCCATTGAATAACATTCATGGTGTAGTAGGAAAGCTCTTACCCTTACATCGGGTAAGCACTGAATAACTTTCATGATGTAGTAGGAAAACTCTTACACTTACATCGGGTAGGTCATTCATCGATTAACGTTCATGGTACAGTAGGAAAACGCTAACCCTTACATCGGGTAGGTCTTCCACTGAATAACTTTCATGATGTAGTAGGAAAACTCTTACCCTTACATTGGGTAGGTCTTCCATTGAATACCTTTCATGATGTAGTAGGAAAACTCTTACACTTATATCGGGTAGGTCTTCCATTGAATAACATTCATGGTACAGTAGGAAAACGCTTACCCTTACATCGGGTAGGTCATCCATTGAATAAGTTTCATGGTGTAGTATGAAAACTCTTACCCTTACATCGGGTAGGTCTTCCATTGAATAACTTTCATGGTGTAGTAGGAAAACTCTTACACTTACATCGGGTAGGTCTTCCATTGAATAACATTCATGGTACAGTAGGAAAACTCTTACCCTTACATTGGGTAGGTCATCCATTGAATAACTTTCATGGTGTAGTAGGAAAACTCTTACCCTTACATCGGGTAGGTCTTCCATTGAATAACATTCATGATACAGTAGGAAAACTCTTACCCTTACATCGGGTAGGTCTTCCACTTCCTCAAATTGTAACAATGTGACTCTGGCATGTGCTAAAATAGCCTCTGTGGGACAGAAGGATTGTTTTGAAGAATTTAACTAATAAAACGTTCGAGTATCAAACATATATTACCAGTTGTAAGCTTATCCAGGCAATGCTTGCCGTTCTACGAATCAATTGTAATTTTAGCATTGTGGCTCTGGTATGTGCTACAAAAGCCTCTGTGGGACAGAATGATTGTTTTGAAGCATTTAACTAATAAAACGTTCGAGTATCAAACATATATTACCCGTTGTAAACTTATCCAGGCAATGCTTGCTGTTCTACGAATTAATTGTAATTGTAGCAATGTGGCTCTGGTATGTGCTACAATAGCCTCTGTGGGACATGTCTAGAAGACGGCGACTGTAACTCTAGCGAGTATTGTCAAAATGATGACCCCTCAAAACCCAACAATTGTGTCCGTAAAAGAGAAGTAGACGAGACGTGTGCCTCATCCAGAGTAAGTTGAGTTTGAAATATAATTGAGTGTTCTCGCTGTTCTTCACAAACTTCAATTTCAAAAGTTGTATTGCACTTCTATAAAATATCAAAAGTTATACGAACGTAATGAAAAAGCATAACGATTTTTGGCGCTAAATTCGCATGATCTTTTTCGGAATACTGAAATGTTAATTTGAATTATATCTGCGGTGAGGTCAGGATTGTGGTATGTATTTGTGTTGTTTGTGGTTCTCGATTTATGAATTATATACAACAGATAATTTATGCCCGTTGTAATTCTATTTTGCTTCATTTTCTACTGTACGTTTTAGTTGAAATCGGACAACTGGGAAAAGGTTTTCGACACGACTTTTGTCATTTTGTGCATGAAATCATCGGATGAGAATTGAAATGAGGAAGCAGTTTCTTTGTTTCCAATGCTCCTTATCCAAATGTGCTTTTAAAGATTTTAGGAAGTTGCCTGTTTTGGCTATTGTGCTTAATTAAGGTACAGCTGAAAAAAAACATTTTGATAAAAATTGCTATTCCGGCACATGTTATTTTCTGGTACAAAATTAAGTATGAAGGCATGTGTCAAGTTTCTTGCTTTTTTCAGGAAAGTATCATTAAATTGTCATCTTTAGAATATCTAGTAGGAGTTCAAAGGGAACTCTAGGAAATTCTGATATTTCACACTTTCTTTTTTCTTTCAAAGTTTCCAGACAACACAGGAGCTACCATTGACCTGTTTCCAGGTTTACTAAAAGGGAAATACACATATGACTTCATACTTAATTTTGTACCAGAAAATAACATGTGCAGGTATAGCAATCTTTTACCAAAATGTTACTTTCCAGCTGAACCTTAAATATTTTGAATTGTATTGCTAGTTTCATTGCATTATGTTTCATAATAGGAATGTACCAGTGGGTACTGCCGAGGTAGTCAGTCGATTTCTATAGTAGGCACCTGTAAGACCCTTCTTCCCCTCGAGAGACCATGCACTAAGGATGACGAATGTGCATCTAACGTGTGCATCGGGAAATGTGTCCAATGCAAAACAAAGCCTGACTGCCCACCTGGAAAAGCGTGTTGGACGGATACTTACAAATGTAAACCAGAGGGTAGAAAGTATGAACGGTGTAATCAGCATGACCATTGTAAGAAGAAATTTATATGTAAAAATGGAAGATGTAATATATAAATCACAGTTCGGAATAAATGTAACCTGTAAGAAAACCAGATATTTTGTAACTGGATTTCAGGAACAAGTAAGGAATATATTGATGGAAATGCACTAAAATAGAGAGATTTCGCACATAAGTGAAAGTACAACGTATATGTATACGTATACTTTAAAGGGTAATGTCGAACTATTATATTTACTAAAATCAATTTTAAATTGTACTTTATGGAACATTACTATTCCCGATATAGAAAAGCTCCATCGACTAGAGACTGTGAATGTACTGTCATCTGCAAGTGTAGATTATTCACATTATAATTAAATATATATATGGAGTATATACTGGCACCCTTACATATATGTTACTGTATTGTAGAATTAGCCCATAAGAGCTTTGCAAACATCTTATACTATTAACCTAATAGACGGCTTGTCCAACCTTACAAGCAAACTATTATAGACAAATTTGAAGATAAGACTGATATTGTTACATTGAATTATGAAAATAAGTAAATAATATTTTTGAAATATTTTTCACTGGTATAGCCGTGCCCAGTATAATAATACACAGGGTTACCCAAAATTGTAGAAACACGAATATGTTTCTTATAAGTAATTAATTCATATATCCCAAAGATTTCACCCCTTCCCTTCCTGACCAAACCTTGTTTTATTTTCGACATCTTATCATTTTGATTTCCATATATTATTGACGTGAGAACTCAAATGATCAATGGAAAAACAATGCTAAAATTGCACACTGAAATAGGTATTCCACCAGGCCTAGGAAAATATGGCTAGAAAAAGATGCAACACCTAAGGGCTACAGGTGCACAAACTATTCCCCCTGAAAAGTATTTTAAGGGTCAGATCACTAAGTTCATGATTGCATTATTATTATTATTATTATTATATTTATTTTCCCTCCATTATTGGAGATAATTAATAATATTGTCTGACAAAAATATAATGAATATAAAAATATAAAATATAATATAAGATTTGGATGTCGACACAAGGTACGCTGAGTTCATGGCCCATCTTCTCCACTCAGGCGGACATCTTCCCCAAGGTCGATGCTTCCCTCGTTGAGAAGTGGGCCACATTTAAAACATCATTCTGACTTCTGTCGTACTTGTTGAAACTGTTAAAACAATAAAATATGATATCACATAAATGCATCTCGTTGCCAATTACAATACATACTTCCCTTTGCCATTGCATGAAATTTACTTCTTCCAAAAAGTACTATATACAAAATACAATAGATACTATGTTCATGGTCATTATTGCCTTTTTCATATATCAAAGGTCGTGTTATAACGTACTGTCATCGGCGTTAAGTATGTTTAAAATATAGATTTAATGCTCCTAGGTGCCAATCACATGTCAAACTACTCCCCTGCCCTTGCAATATACATCCTCTGAACGTCTGTAGAAATTAGTTTTAAATCATCTAGGTCAGTTACTGTAGTTCCTCCAAAACATATCTTCATCTGCATTGCTCTGGATAAAGGTGGGCCATTGGATACTCTATTAAGAATGCGCCGAATGTTGCCTCGTAATTGCTCGTATCTCTCACATACTAAGATGAAATGCTCAAGAGTCTCTATCACGTTGCAGGTTGGGCATGCTCTCTCACTGTTTGCTATATAGTCCGAGGCTCCTGTATTTGTTCTAAAGAGTCCCTGTCCAGTCAATAATTTCACCATAAGAGAACATCTTCTGATAAATCTCGAGTCATCTCTTGCTAGTATCCACCAAACGATGGGTCTTATATCCTGTGTGATTTCTCTGAATAAATCAAGTTGGTTATTGTATGTATTCAGTTGACGTCTCCAGTGTAACAATTCATATTCTTTGATACAAGTTTTCACAGATCGTTTCCAATTTAGTTTGGACGGTATTGTATCATGGTCCATCGCATCATAGATAATCTGTGCCAATCCGTACCTTACGGCTAACTTCATAATATCATTTATGGGAGACATCTGGTTCATTTTGTATCCCATTTTAAAGGCTGTTATACGCTTTATGGCGATGCTTCTGAACACATTACCCGTTATCATTGTCAGTAGGTGCCATAGAAACATCAGTTTAGTGATGACAATGGTAGAAGTGAGGCTGCTCCATCCAAGCTGTGGGAGAACAGCCACATCAGGCGTGTTGGAAGGGAGTCCTTGTAACTTCTTGGCGATGCCTCTGTGGCCCTTGTCAATGTTCATGTAGTCGTTATCCGTTAACGGTATAAGCTCCATCCCGTACGTTATTGACGGGACGCTTACTGTCCAATACAGTTTGGCTGCTGTTAAAGGGTTTGTAGGATTACGTATGAAATTGGTCGTCCCTACATAGGCGTTCATAGCACGTCTTCCTTTTGACAGTCTGTTATCAATTAAACTTGTGTTGCTGTTGACATTTGACAGTGGTAGACCTACATGCTGCAAGGTATTAACAGTTGGGAGAATCGTGTTCCCTAGCGTAAGTTCTATTTGCTTTGCCATAGTTCTTTTGTTGCTAAATGTGATGACTTGGCATTTATCAGGATGGTATCTAAACCTCCATTTCATTGCGTATTCATGTAATATATTGATTACGCTTTGAACGGACTCCTGGTGATATCCTATTATTACAGTGTCGTCCGCATATGAAGGGCAGGTGCATACTATGTCACCTATTGATGCACCCTTGCCGCACTCCTCGACTTCAATGAGAAGGTCGTTCATGTACTTAAGGTACAATTCCATCGAGTACAGCCCGCCCTGATGGACTCCCTGTGATACGATGAACTGTTCTGACAGCTTACCATCATTTCCACAGCGAACAGCGCACTTATAGTTATCATAGCACAATTTTAGTAACCGCCATAGTTTGCCATTTATGCCACTGTTATACACCTTGTAGAGCAGCCCTTCTTGCCATACGGTATCGAAAGCTTTTCTGATGTCAGCTGACACCAAAATGACATCTTCGCCATTTTCTAGCCCATGGGCGATTGCTTCGCGTGTCAGAAATGACGTGTCAATACATGACGTCCTTTTCTTATTGGCAGCCTGCATTTGGGATGTCTCCTCAGTCTGGTTGCACCTTTTGTTCCTTGTGACCATTAGTTTCTCGAGGATCTTCATGTATGTGGTTATTAGGGTTATCCCTCTATGGTTATCCTTCTCAAGTGTGTCTTTGTTGCCACCCTTGAAGATTGGGATCAATACACCAAGTCTGAAGCCTGCAGGTACGTATTCAGTTTTCACGAGTTGGTTAAAGAGGGTCGTTAGTATGTTGATGACCACTGGGCCTCCATGATACAGGTGCTCTGAGCTTATTTCATCCCATCCGGTAGCCTTATTTTTAGATAGTCCCTTTATCAACTCCTCCATTTCATTATCATCTATCTCATCTGTAAACGATCCATCATTGTTTCTGGTACTTTCTTCAATCATCTCCTTCAGTCTCTCGTTTACATGTTTCTCATGGTTGTTGTCAAAATCTTTTTCCTCTTTGATGGCCATTAGGGTACTAAAGTATTTCATCCATTCCTCCCGAATGTCCTCATTATTAGTTAAGATAGTTCCATCATCATTCCGGATAGAATAAGAACTGTTGGTCCTACCCCGACGCTGCTTAACTAGAAACCAGAATTGTTTCATACTGATCTCAGCAGCGCGGTCTATTTCCTGCTGACACTCATGCTCATATCTATACTCAGCAATACGTAGTTCCCTTCTCAACGTTCGTTTGGCATCTTTATATCGTGTCCAGTGGATGTTATTCGAGTCTCTTGGGCGGCCGTTTTGTATCCATGTTCTCAGCGCCATCTTTTTATCAGCAGATAAACTCTTTAAAACGTCTGTCCAGTAAGGCTTCAAATGTTTTCTGAAACGTTTATGGGGTATTGACTTTGATGATACTGTCATTAGTACAGACGATAGATCATTAAAACCGGATTCAATCTCGGCAGATGTCAAAACACGTCCTGCTACGGTTTCACTCAGCCGATGTCTTAAAGGTTCCAGTTGATCCGTTAGTTGCTTAGTATAGCTCTCATAAATAGAATTATTGTCAAGGCGATTCCAAGCTAGTTTCACTGGGTTGCAGCCATTGGTTGACGATGTGATTGGCACCGGAATGAAAACTTCTATAACAGTCTGCAAGGGAAGGTGATCAGAATTATTCAACAATTCATCGTCTAACACACATACGGATTTCACCGTGTTCATACATTCTAGAGAAATGATACAGTGGTCTTTATATGATTTACCAACATTTTCTCGGAAGAACGTGTAGTCAGGACCAGTACATTTGCTAGTTAAATCTACAATTTTAAGGTTACATCGTAAACACATGTTTTTCAATAAAATTCCATTTCTACTAATCTCACCATTACCACGAACACCATATAGACACCCCATGCTAGCATTGGTGTCACCCATTAGCATAACGTCGCCATCCTGTTTTAAAGAACATAGCACATCTGAAAAATGTGAGGTTTTGCAGTTACGTTGTGGTAAATATAAGGAAATGAGATATAACAACTTTGATCCTGGTTGCAGAATCTTAACAATAGCAAATCTATCATTGTTAATCTTTTTCAAGGGAAAAATACTGTTCGAGAGAGATTTTTTCCACATAATTGCCACTCCACCATTACCAATTGAGTGTCCTTGATTCAATGAATCTAAAGATTTACTACTAATACCATAAGAAACAAAGTTATTATCATAAGAGTCTAGCTTTTCAAGACCACTTTCATAAAGCCAATGTTCACTCAAGCATACAATATCAGATGATGACAATAATGATTTAAGATATGGACTTGAAGCAGAGAGTCCGTTAGCATTCCAGCAGGTGATAGTTAGTGGTTGTTTTAACGTTACCATTGGGATTCGTCATGTTTAAATATGCGATTGTTTCCATCATTATCCCATACTGACTGTCTGTAATATTCATTTGTAGATTCATATATGTCTTCATGTAGATCGTAGTCTGTGTCATTGTCGATGGCTGGATAATCCAAGGACCTCTTAAATGTACCATATGACGTCTTTTTGCGCTTATATTCCCATTTTCTGCATACAACAGGGTCCGGCCAGGTTTCCACTTTGAGTGCTCTGACAATCTGATCGACTGGGACTGTGATCTTACAGCCAACGCGTAATGTCGACACTTTATTGTGAACAACGTAGCATTGATGGATTGAAATGCCTTTGGTTGTTGCGTAGTCCTTAACTTGTAAGACAATGTCATCATCAGATTCACACTCATCTTTAGCAATATTCTCTAGGTAAAGAGTTGTCGTTTTAGTAGCGCATACTCCTCGCAAACTACGCGCAGGTTTCATCTGCTTGGACGGTCCAGCTTGCATAGTAGGTTTCGTGAGTGATTTTGGCTTCGATTGTTTAGATATTTCAACCACTCTAGAATATGTGAGTGGTTTCACTGGGGTATGGTTACCTGTATGTTGTCCGTTTGTTGGCGCAATTCGGTCTATTTCTCTTTTTCACGTTTCTCACGACGGTCCATTTATCTTCTAGATCTGTAGATTTGTTTGTGTCATGATCGACTATATCTTGTCGTATTATTTCTATGTCTGTTGAATCAGGATCCTCTGTGTTCGTGTTTGATTTGATGTTTGTATTATTGGATTTCTGAAGGTCTGTAGAGCATGGTACTTCAGGTACAAGTTCAGATGACGCGGTTTTCGCCTGTGTCGCTTTACCGCCATCTTGGATTTCGCTGGCATTGTTTACATTTGTCGAATGGCGCAGTAAGGTTTGCGTGACCTCGTTAATATCCCGAATGTTTTTAACTGAGTGTGTGTCCTTAGTGATACACAAAATGTTTCGTGGGCGTAATCCCGTTGTTTCACCGACATTCGTACATGGGCCTTTGTCGACTGAGATCACATTATTGGCTATTGGGCTACATTGAGTGTTGCCTGGGGTTAATCCTATTACATCAACCACTTTCGCGTGTACATTACTAGCGTTTATTGCACCTTTCAATTGACCTATTTCATCCCTTAAACAGTTTATTTCGGTGTTCATTTTGTTGATTTTCCCCTCATAACTTTGTTTCAAAGATTCAAGTTCCATAGATATATTTCTATAATCCATAGATAATTCTGTATATTTGGCTGATAAGTCCAAAAGGGACGGCTGTATGATTGCAGGCCTTGTTTGACTTGTATTTGTAAGGGCAAAATTATCAGGAATTTTGCTTGAAGTCCCTAATACAGATCTCGGGAAGTCTTTTACTAGCCCCCTAACGTATATGTATAATTCAAAAATATCATTACAGATACTTATCTTCTTTGACTCCCCAGTCCTTTTCTTGGGCTTTATATCCAATGTTTGTTCTAATCCACGGGCTGACGCAGGCCCATATATCAACGTGCACTTTTTGTCCAAAATCCGTGCTGCCAATTTGAAGAGAATATCTCTCTCATCCAGAAGCATCTGGTCATCATAATCCATAAAAATGTTCTCCGTAATCTCATATCTTGGACGAGCCTCGCATTGTACGAGTAGGCGCTCCAAGGAAGGGTCCAGATCAGATAAATCGGGAGAGCTTTGTTGAGTTGCGTCCTCCGCCATTTTGACCTTGACCTTTTGAAAAGCTTTGAATGCTAATATTCAAGAATGGATATATTACCAAAGAAGAAAATATGTAGAATTCACATTGTTTATTTCGAGTGATTCTTTCGTGTCAAGTTTTGTTTCTAGTGACAGCATGTCACTGAATATCTCATCAAGTGACCTAAACTACAGCAGCTAAAATAAGCATACCGAAATATTTTAATTCAGTATGATTCGGAGATAGAAGGGGAATATATATTACAGTTAACAGGATCTTAAGAGGTTCTGGACAAATCATTTGATTCTGGACTTGTCATATTTTTTTTCAACGAAATCACATCTAAGGGTTGAATTTTTATTAGCTATTTAGAGAGTGAGTCCTGCCTAGTATTAATTTTAATAAAAAAGTTAAAATAGAACCCTATTTGAGAGTCAATCTAATACTTACATTACATTGATAAATTAAGGTATATCCTGAAATATTTTTAAAGTGCATTTTTTATGAAATATTATCCAGCAAGTATTTGGATGAAACGGTCTTATTTAAATACAAATCATAACATGATGATATTTTTCATGAAACATCTTTCATTTTTAATTTAGGTGAAAACCCTTACATGATGATGTGTTTTCATAACTTCTTTTTATAAAATTCCATTAAGGGGTGAAGATAAAATGATCGAATTTAAGTGATTTAAGGATCACGAGAATAAGTTTTCAATGGTCAAGGTAAAATTTTGATTTTGATTTGGTATTAGGTCACGTGTTCGGAAGATCCATTTAAGGCCCATAGAACCATATAGGAACGTCATTTTGAATGTCACGTGATAGATCCATATAAGGCTTTTAGAACCATGTCGGGAAAGATGAGGGGAAGCCCCTGACACCTGTTTCACGATTTTATCCGAACGTTGTTCGGATCATTTCGGTTTTTATGCACTTCATTATTGTACCGAAGTTTGCCGATTCGATTCGTCGTATTTCGGAATCCTAGTGACAATTTTATACTCCATTTGGAGTATTTTTGATCTACTTCTTATGACGAAATTTCCCGAACCTTGTTCGGATTAATCCGGATTTTCTGACCTACTTTATCTTCCGAGATTTCACGAGTTAACATTCGTCTCATTTCGGAATCCTGGTGACAATTTTATACTCCATTGGAGTATTTTTGATCTACTTCTTATGACGAAAATTCCCGAACCTAGTTCGGATTAAACCGGATTTTCTGACCTACCTTTTCCACCGAGATTTAACGAGTTACATTCGTCTCATTTCGGAATCCTGGTGACAATTTTATACTCCATTGGAGTATTTTTGATCTACTTTTTCTGGATTTTGCCCTACTTATTATTGTGACAACAAGCAAATCAAAAAGTTCGACATGAACGGGTCTCGATCAACTAACCTAGAGCCTGGAAGCCAGGCACGCTAACCATGAGGCCAACGTGCTACCGATATGAAAGAACAAAAGTATTATATATTTATACCGAGCGTCAATTCAAAATGATCCTCACTTTTGACTCCACTTAAATACGACTCGTCAGTTGTATCCAGAATAGGTGAACGCCTATGGCGCTAGTGAATAACCCAGTCCCAGGTGAGCGGTTCGTATCCCTCCGTGATATACTATTTTTGTTTTATTAAATACGACAGAAAGGAGCAAGGTGTAGTTTGAAAACAAGACGTAAGTTTGTTTCAAAACAGTTTGGAAACATTAATCTCTGATAATTTAAGATTTTCCACTCCTGAAGGGCCTCTAGATCTATGAAATTCATTAATCCACTCAGTAAAAATACGATTTCTCTGTAACCTGATGTCCAATCAAGATCATTCAAATGTATATGTGTTCCTGACACGTTTGGGCGTCCGGGAATAGCAAGGTCTACACAAAGTCTGCACGGAAAATTGACGTAATTCATGACTGAAATCGGGAAGACAAAATTTGAGATTCACAAACAAAATTGCTTGTGAAAACTATTTACAAAAGTGTTCCAGAGACTCTAATCTACTTGGCTAAGGTTTTATTTGAAGAAACATTGCCTTATTTAGCAGGTAGAGGGGCATACCGATTACGGAAGCAAATGCTATGTTGAAAATTTTCTATATTTCAATTTGAACCTGTTATTACATGTCACGTAGGCCAGTGTTTTATATGGGGATTATATGTACTTTACTTGTTTACATGAACGTAAATCATTACATGAAATCTGCATTCTTCCGGGTTTAATCTGGGTTTGTGTTGTCTTAATAGAGATTTTACATTTTGGCATGCCAACCTAAGGTCCTTGCGATGGCATGGGTACACTAAGGTCCTATCACTTTTGGAAGAGTTTATTTTCATTCATAAGGTAGTATAGGAATCTTTACATTTCATAAGCACAAGATTTGAATACACACTCAGTGGAGCCAGTTACTTGAATAAAACCTTGACATTGCAAATCTATGGAGTAAATGTACTATAGAAAATAACTTATCAATGTGCAAAAGACTCCATGCAGAACAGTTCTAGTGATAAAGACAGTCTTCCCATTACAAACCAAAGGCTTTACCAAAACGCCCAAAAAATCACTATGAATTTTTCTATTATTGCAGACATTTATAGTTAGTTTATTGACTTAATTACACAAACAGGCACATTTCTAAAAAAATCTTACTTGGAAATATGGTACTTATAATTGGGTTCCATATACATATTAAAATGTTCATGCATGTTGGTTCATGCATGCACATTGATGAATAAACAAAATAGTTGTTCATACAAACTGGAGAACGTACAACATCTGCGTTCATACACACTGGAGAACGTACATATTATTTGTTGATACAAAAGGTGTGTTCATAAACAATGGAGTACATGTACATAATATTTGTTCATACATGTTGGTTCATATACATGTTCATACTGGAGTATTGTCTCTTCCACTATAGATATAGTAGTACATAAAATTTGTTCATACACACTGGTTTAGGTACATTTTATTCATTCTGACACATTGATTGATAAACAAAATATTTCTTGAGACACGGAAGAGAATGAACAAATTTTTGGTTCATGCACAATGGAGAAAGTACAAATGATTTGCTTATATATATTGGAGAATGGACGCAAAAAAAGTGTTCATACATACAAGGAGAAAGTACATAAAATGTGTTCATAGAAAGTGGAGAACGTACAGAGTATTGGTTAAATAACTGGTGAAAGTACATAATATTTGCTCATACACACTGGAGAAAGTACATGATATTTGTCAATACACACAGTTAAAAAGTATTGTTTCATATATACACTGGAAAAATATAAATAGTAGTTCATACACACAGAAGAAAGTACAATATATTGATTCTGAAACATTGGTGAATAAAAAAAATAGGGTAAATGAACCTAGTTTCGGTTCATACATACTGGAGAAAGTATATACACAGGAGTGTGACTCAGAAATGTGACTAAAAAAACAGTTAAAAGTTGGACTTTTGGAAAAGTCACCAGACAGAATCTATTGCATTTTTCAGAAAGTTTGCCAAATATATTATCTAAAATGATAGGAGCTTTGAAAATTTGAATTCATTCCTAGATATAGAAAAAATGAGAAACTGATTTACAGCAATCCATTTCCTTTTTATGATCACAATTTTTGTTTCAGACAACTTTCAAACTTTCAAAGCTCCTATGATTTAGAGCAATATATTGGGCACATTTTATGAAAAATTCAGAACATTCTGTTCAGCGACATTTCCAAAAGTAAACCTTTTAATCATTTTTCAGTCACAAAGACTTCAGAGGGCTGAAAAGTCTGACATGATGTTTAGAGTCATTCTGAGCATGATCATTGTGATCCTGGTCATGTAAATGATATGTGAGAGTAGTGAAACTGATTGATGGCAAAACAGAACTCTATTCAGTTTTTAAAAAATCCAATATCAACGTATTTTTTCATTTCCTGTTTTGTGTTAATTTCTGATAACTACTTCCTTAACCCACACTGGAGAAAGTACAAACTGTTAGTTTATACACCCTGAAGAATGGAGAAACTATGAGTTCAACGTTTGAGATGTTTGATCTATACATACTGAACAATCATACAAACTAGAGAGACTTTGAGAATATTGATTAATCCAATCTGAGTAATATGATAGTTGGTTCTTCAAAATAAGAGGTTTACTTAGATTTTGAATATCAATATAGATTTGCATCAAGTGTTATAAAGAATCTGATCTTCGTAACTTACTTAACTTTAATGCATGCAGATTAATATTTAATGGATTTACATTAAATGCAGAGTTCCTGTGACAGTGGCATTTATTTTTAGTGATCAAGAAAGTACTTTGCATGCTCTCGCCAAGTTATATAGGAAGAAAGCCAGAGCATTTTCATTCTGATACACATCGCATCTAAAAACGTCTGTGTCTATGATGCAAGAAGAGAGGGTCATGGTATTCCATCATGGAGCATTTTCGAAACCCTTCTTTATAAAATATGTAAA